ATTATGGCTTTACCCACAATAGCACTTTCGTGAAAGGTGTAGTTTATTTACAGCACCATAGACATATACAAAAGTCCACAAGTGATGGTGTGAAGAAATATATACAGTGTAATAACCAAAAACGTAAAAAAAATAAAATACAAAGTTACAATAATTTACTTTAAAATAGATTTAATTCTTGTGATGGCAAAGCTGAATTTTCAGTAGCCATTACTCCAGTCTTCAGCGTCACATGATCCATCAGAAATCAGGATTCTTTGATGAATAAAAGAACAGACAGCATTTATTTGAAATAGGAATTTGTAACCTCATGAATGCACTGGTGATTTTATTAATTTAATGCACACTTGCTGAATAGAACTTGCTGAAAAATTATTTTTAAAATCATTTGTGTCATATTCTTTAAGCACATTGTATTATTTGTTAAATTTACTTTTGTAAACTTTGTAAATCTTTTTGTGCTGTAAAAGAAACATTCTCTGGAGTTAACAGCTTTCAGAAAACTGTATCTATTAAAAACTTGTGTCTATCCAGTTATGTAAAATTTGGTTAAAAAAGGGCGCTATAACAATGATAAACATGTATTTTTTAATGTGTATTTCTATGGCACTTGGCTGAAATGTATGGTGTATTGTCTCTGTCTACTAACTGACTTTCTGAGAAATGCTTATTATCTTGGAAAATATAGGCTCCAAAAGCCCCATGGTGCTTTATATCTGATGATTACTGCTCATTCATTTCTGTTTAGATAGTTTTTCTCTCTGGCTTCATTGTAAGCTATAAAACACTTTTAAGATACGAATTCTCTGTCTAAAGCTCCAGAAAGCACTTTAGACTAAAGTTTGTTTGCAAATTGAGAGTTTGATTGGGCCAAATCAAACCTCAAAGACAACACATTTTGAGAGCACCTGAATATGAAAGCCTTGTAATGGCTCGATGAAATTGCAATGAGTCACCGCAGCTCTCACACTTTGAAAAGCAGTCTGGAATTAGAGCTCACAGGATCCAGACAATGTGTTTCAGGGAATGTGTTAAAATGACGGTCATCTCAGAAATAGAATAGCATTGCATGACTAATGTTAATGTAAACACTGAATTCTGAAAAGGAATAGTGACAGACATGCATGTAGTTCACACTTCTAATCGTTGTACTGTCTCACTTGAGACGATCTTGGAAAAGGTCTTTAGATTATAAACGATTAGCACTAAAACCAGATTGATTCGTTATTAAATTAGCGTTTAGTCAGAAAATGTACAGAGAATTGTAATAGAACAGTAATATTGTGAAATATTATTACAATTTAAAATAACTATTTCCTATTTTAATATATTTTAAATGTAATTCCAGTAATGGCAAAGCTGCATTTTTAGCAGCCATTAACATTTCTTATTATTCTCAATGTTGAAAACATGTCCACAGTTTTGTGGAAAATGTGATGCAGTGTTTTTTAGGATTCATTTTGATCAGTTTTATGCACCTTTGTTGAATAATAATTAAAAAAATCTTACTGACCCTAAACTTTTGGACATTTAGTGTATTTTTTGACAACCAGTCCAGTGTGAATAAACTATATATATATATGGGTCAATATTACTGTAGGGTGCCTTTTGGTGTCCTGTACATAAATAACTCATTTGCCATGATAACTTGACTTGAAAAAATTACTATGAAAAGGTGTGTTATACTAGGCTGTTTTTTTTTTAATTCTCCTATTAATATTTTTGTATTAAATAGGAGATTACTCCATTTGAGTGTGTTGATCATTTGGTAATAAAAATGATATTTTTATTTAATAAAAAAGAAAAGTTTGTCCATGTCCCTTGAATGGTTGTCCACCCTGTCGTATTGGGGAATCCGCCCCTTTAAGAAAAGGCCATCCCCTTTAGTGACATCAGGACAACAGATTTTTTGTCTCTTCAGTGGCGGGAATTTCAATGGCTGAGGTAAGTTGGTGACTTTTCAATTGACAAATTTTCTTCATATGAGTTTGCTTACTTGCTTTGCCAAAGCTTAACTATGCTTAAAAGTCCAAATACTTTGGTATTAAAATTAATTTAATGGACCAAAACTGTTTTACAGTACATTGTAAATTTTAACCTTCTGTTACTGTTTTGTTGCTGCAACTCTACTACTAATAACTAAAGGAGTTTATTAGTACACTATGAAAAATAAATCTGTAAAATAACAGAAAACGTACTGGCATCTCATTACACATGACTTATATGATGAACTAAAGACTAGATGTTTTGAGGGGTAAGACTATTGCACAGAAAACTATATAATACATTTTGAGCAACATGACATTAGCAACTGATAATGTAGGAAAGCGCAGACAAATGTACATAATCAATTGCATGAATGTACCAAAGCAATCGCAACTTGTTCAAAAGAATGAGAAACTGGTTTTATGTGTACAAATGACTAGATGATGTGGAGGTTGAACAAGTAGTTTTGAGAATTTCATTTCTGATTTGAGAAATGCACCAAAGCGACTGAGAAAAACTGTAATAAATTCAAGTAATAATAATAGATGCAAATGTGTATGGGTCGAAAGTCTTCAGGTTTAAAGTGTCTTTGTGCCCTGCCTTTAGTAATATCTGTTCTCATTTAGAGTGGAAGGCTCTCAGGCCCTCTCAGTGTCTTCATTAAGACAGGACTCAATAACATTGATCTCACACTAAACAGATTGTGTTCAAATGTATAAGTTTGGCTATACCTTTTTTTTTTTTTTTAAAGAAACGTCCTTACAGTTAAAACGTCAAACGATTTTGAGGAAATTCAGTGTGGTCCTTATTATTTGAGATGTTCTTTAATACGACCCTGGAGCAGCAGAATCACTGTATTTTTCGTCCAATCAAACTTTCCTAATGAAGGATGCTTGAAAGGGTCTTTATCACTTCCCCTCTGTGCCTCATCACCGCATGCGATCTGATTCATGAATACTAATTTCAGCGTTCGTACGAATCAGATTGTGACTCGTCTTTGAAAATAACCAGATATGCTTACGCTCAGAGCAAGACTAGATCTCTATTAAATACATTCCTGATTACCTGCTTTACCAGGCACAACAGAAGTAACCCAACTGCTATTCATTAAAGCAGTGTCTCTATTGTAGTGGTTTGGCCACAGTTCTGGTGTCTCTCTGCTGGTTTGAACGGAATGATTTACGTCTGATTGTAATGCAGCTGTAGTGAGCGGTTCAGCACCCAGAAAACCTCCTGGCACCAGAGGGAATGAAATATAGATGAATGCATTTCATGAGGCCTCACAACGTAGTGCTCATAAAACGTGCCAAGTACACACAAACTCACATCTTATTCATCCATATCTTCATGGTCTGCTTTTTGTCGTTTTATATAGATAGACAGACAGACAGACAGACATAGATAGATAGATAGATAGATAGATAGATAGATTAGATGAGTGGGCTGAAAGGTGAGGATGGAGGCATGTATTCATGGATTGAGGGGATGTGTTGAAACACGGAGCTTTTTGCAGCCAACTGCAGATTTTACACTCGTTCTGTCCATTCTAGTTTCCAAGGCAACAACTGGAGCCGAAATTGGAGTGAAAATAAGACCCTAACATTATATTAAATACATAAAGCTATCAAATATGACCTCACTGACAATCACTATCAGTCTTGGTCTTGTTATTTTGTTGTGTTAGATGATGAATTAGATCATATATCCCTTGTATTATTGATAATTATGCTCTTTATTACTGTATGTGTTTGCCCTGACATTTCTTTAATAATGTATATGCCACTGGCCTGCGTATCGCAGTATTAGATCTGACAGTTTAAAAGTGAGAGAAAACAGCAGGATGTCAGTATCTTCATTCAGTCCATGTTGGTTCTCTTTGCTACAGCATTTTTTGCTTATTCTAAATGCACTGAAATCAGAAGAGACTCAATGGTGTATTATATTCAGTTTGTAAGGCCAAAAGTTTCTCTCACCAAAATCATTTATCATATAGACAGGACCGTTTGATGCCATCAGTTAAATCAATTAGCAATAAGAGACCATGCATTACTGCAGTTGTCCTGTAAAAAAAGATTGACATTTAAACAAATATATATATTTTAGGTTTTCATGCTTAATTTGTTTCAATTTTATCATGCAATTTTGAGAGAAATAATAAAATCTAGCCTTTCATCACCAGTGTTACATTTAAATTTAGCATAATTAAAATAACAATTATTCTGAAAATTATTTTTGCTATTATAAATGTTTATACAAAAAATTACACATAATTTACTTAAAATTGTCTTCAAAGTTGTTTTGAATAAAATATTTGCAAACCATTTTTAGACAGGCAATCTTGTCGGCACACCTACTGAATTTGATTTGGACAATAGTAAGCCAAGAAATCCAAGACAATGCTGAGAAGAACCATCATAAATAGATATGTTTTGCTCTTCATGCTATTGAAACAAACATTGTAGCTTTAATGTGATCATTAAATATATAATTTTTTACTGGGGCTTGAAGGTAAAATGCTAAAAGTTAGAGTCAAACTGACCTGTAGTTAAAACTATGTAATCAGCATTTATATTGTATTATGATTATTGTGCATGTAGTTTTCATGGCCTTGTATTCATTAAAAGACTATATGGTATATTTGTATGCTTTAGAAATTCACTTAATTTCAAATTCATGTTTCAAATCAACTAGTGAAATTGAAAAGGTGGTTGAGTGATGAATGGTGATCAGTTACAGCATCTAAAAGCACAAACTTACACCAAAATAAGCATTTTAACCTAAAATCTTGATGTTAAAAAGAAAAATCATGTCCTTGTTCATTTGTCAACAAGCTTCTTGCATTTTATTGCATCCATGTGATTGGTAAAAGACTATTGTAGTATTGGTTGTCTTGGAGCACAAATAAGAATAATCAAAACAAAGAGTACTTGTGTGCAATATGTGTATTCATGCTCCCTCATCCTGTATTGTGATAGCAGTTGTTTAGTTTGTGTAATGTTGTGTCTGTCCTGCAGATGGAGCGCCACTGAGTGAGCTGTCCTGGTCGTCCTCTCTGGCTGTGGTGGCTGTGTCTTTCTCTGGACTCTTTACCTTCATCTTCCTCATGCTGGCTTGCCTGTGCTGTAAACGAGGTGACATTGGCTTTAAGGTGAGACCCTCTTTCATTTCAATCACTTTTACAAGTAGTGGCTCTTAAAGGCACAATATGTAAGATTTTTTTATTAAAATATCCAAAAACCACTAGAACAGTGTTATATATTTTGCTGACTTGTGTACTTACATTATCCCAAATGTTTCGAAGAATGTTTTAATCCAGAGAAATAAGCTATTTTAACTAGTTACACGGACCGTGTCCATAGTGTCATTGTGTCGCCTGCCAATGACGTCATAACCCCTCAATTTCCGGTTTTGTTTTGTAGAAAACATGGAAAAACCAAACAACCTACACCTTTGTCTATTTGTTTATTTTGAATACGCGCCCTCTAGAGGCGAAAATTACATATTGTGCCTTTAAATTCCATCAGACTGCCATGGTTCACAGGGCACACACTTTGGAATGAGCCAACTCAGCAAGATTCAGTCCCAATCAGAACACACATAATAAAATATACCATATTAGTGTCAGGCCCATGAAATAAGCAGACAATGCAAATCTACACAGTATCTTTGTCTTGTTTTCCAGTCAAAAACTTTTTTTGTTTTAATGTAGAATCTTATTTCATTTAAACTAATTTATTCTGTTTTAAATTTAATTTTTCCTTAATTTTTTTATTTCTTATACAATATTTTGTTTTTTACATTTATTTAATTTTCTGTAAAGCACTTTGAAATATCACTGTGTATGAAATCCACTATATGAACAAACTTGCATTCCCTTTATTTTATTTTTTTTATCTTAAAGAAAGGCAGCGGCTATTTGCACTAAGTGTAAATAGTGATCGAGGCTATTTACATAGCAAGAAATGCTATTTATACTAAATGAAAATATCATATTTTCTTAGAGATAGATGCTATTTACACTAAGTGCAAATAGTGATGGATTCTATTTACACTAAGTGAAAACAGCAGTATTTTTAGCGATATGCTATTTACACTAAGTGCATATAGGTATAGATTCTATTTACACAATGTTAAAATAGAAGGATTTTCTGCTATTTATAGCTACTACTTAATGCAAATAGTGGCATTCACATTGTTTTCTGTCTAGATTTATTCTTATTGTGAAGTGAAAAGGTAAAAGAAGACTATACTTATCTCAAAGATGCATTCTGGTAATATCTAATTCATGTTTATTTCTCAGCTATAATACTTTTACTGGAAAACAAATAATATCCATTAGGAATGAGATTTTCTGCAGTGCACCAACAATGATAAAACAAGATCATCCTATATTATACTATAATGTTCTGACTTTCTCATGCCACTGTCTATGAATATGTAAGCATAATGTGCATTAATAATGTAACGCGTTGCCAGAAGCAGAGATTTATTATACTTTATTATACCAAATAAGAAAAAAAAAATAGGCTTGAAATATTGATGAGTTGAAATTATGTGAGGAGAAAGAGAGCCATTGAACCATGAAACTAGCTATGTAGGAATCAATTAAACCATTTAGCTGTTATGTATAATAAAAAAATCATTTTAGAATCCCACAACTGACAAATCAGAATCAAGTGTAAATACACTGATATAAATGCCACATCTCTACAGATTGAATCTCTCTATTTGACATTGAAAGATTATTCACTGGGAGAGATTTTAATCATACTTGCCAGTCAGCAATGAATTTACACAAAAGCATCTCTCTCTATTGCAGCTTCTTGGCCTGTTGCCGTCCTGCAGTTATGAATGAAATTGTAAAGTCTGAAAAGCATCATTCATGAATCGCTTCTGAGTCTGTTTCAGATCTGTAGGAATGCTTTGATCAGCTACTTGAAAAGTAGCACAGCACATGCACACATGCATTCTGTTCAGCTGCATGTCCTCGTGCCCTTTTGAGGTTACAGAGTCCCAGAGTTCCAGAAAAAAGCAATTTCTTCGGTGCAAACCACTTAGTCCTGTCTCATAAGGTTAAAGGAGCCGAGGCTGAGAGAGAGCAGGGACACAATCGCTTCCCTGTAGATGTGTTTTTGTAGCGAACAGCAGAGGCCTTGTGGCATATGGCTATAGATCTCAGCGCGCACTGTGCATTTTTCAGCAGCAACTTTAAAGTGGGTCAAGGCACAGGAGAAATGAGGCCCGTGTGAGTGTGTGAGAGAGAGGAGGATGGCTCTTTCATGCTTCTAAGCACCTGGTCTCCTGTAAAGGCCAAATATTTGTAATTACAATCCCTCAGTGGAACTACAGCTCAGCGCTTAAACATCAGCTGCTGAAAAGAGACTCTTCCTCTTCCCTCTGTCTCTCTGTCTATTTAACACTCTCTCGTTCTCGTATAGAGGTTGGGAGTCTGACAAGCCTGAGGGTAATTGATTCATTCATTCCCCTTTAGCATTCTCAAAAAAAAAGTGAGCGCTGAGAAACAACTTTGTTTGTTAGTTTGAGGTGCGACTGTAATACAGTGCTTACATAAGGTGCACCAAGTGTGTTTTATGATTATATTTTCAGTGCTGTATATGCAGTCAATAATGAACACTCATCAAGTGCTGGCGAATAAATTAGTGTTTGCTAACTTGATCGGAAACTGCAACAAGTCAATGTTTTTAGTCCATTTGTCTGTATTGTATATTGTATATTTTATATTTGATTTGATTCAAGGCTTCAGTTTAAATTGAAATCGGTAGTACAGATATATATTTGTACACCTACACTACTGTTAAAAAATGTAAGGTCAGTAAATTGTTTTATTTTTTACTTTTGAAACAAGACTCTTATGCTCACCAAGGCTGCATTTGTTTAAACAAAAACACAGTAAAAAACTGTAATATTATGAAATATTTTTACAAATTAAAATAACTTTTTCTATTTTGTTATATTTTAAAATGTAATTTATTCCTGTGATACAAAGCTGAATTTTCAGCATCATTACTCCAGTGTCACATGATCCTTCAGAAATCATTCTAATAAGCTGATTTGGTGCTCAAGAAACATTTCTTATTATTATCAATGTTGCGGTTGTGCTGCTTAATATTAAATATTTTATATTGAATATTTTTGTAATCTCTGATGAATAGAACTTTAAAAAGAAGAGCATCTATTTGAAATACGAATCTTTTGCAACATTATAAATGTCTTTACTGTCACTTTTGATCAATTTAATGCATCCTTGCTGAATAAAATCTTTAAAAAACCCAAACAATTGAACAGTAATGTACTCTAGTATGGTAAATATGCAGAAATGCAAAATCTAACCTCTTCAAATGAATGCACATGCATACAAGCATACATGTGAGCGTGCTCATTTGTGCCGATGGCTGTAGCAAGGGCCTGTCATGCACATGTGAGAAAGAATGAGCGCGAGGAAGGAAGGATGAAGAAAAAAGAGTGATGTCATAAGCACAGAATGTGAAAGCCTTTCCCTGTTAGATTTTTTTTTTCAGCCTCACATTTTTGTGGAAGCGTCTCCACTATTCTTAATCACTGGTCGTCCACACTCTCATGGGAAGAACACAGGAACTGCCCCTCCCTGCATTCTCTCTCTCTCTCTCTCTCTCTCTCTCTCTCAAGTGCAGGATCTATTTGCTTTTTATTTGTATGTTTTCTTGAGAGTTATAATGATGTATTCTCAAGACCTGGGTTCTCTGGTTGTGTGGCAGCATGGGTCAGTTCCTAATGTTCAGTCCGGTGAGGGATCCGTCTGGGATCATGTGGGCACCTCACAGGTGTTCTGTGAAGAGCCCAGCGGTGCAGGTTCACGGGGCAGAAGGGAAGAGTTAAAGATTCAGCGCAACCTGTTAGATGTAACACGTGTGCATTAAGGGCAGGTAAGATGGGAAATTAATCAAATCTTTGGCCTTACAGAACAGTGCTTTCTTCAGAAAGTTGTTTTAATTGAATAGTAGTGTGTATGCTATATGTTAGTAAAATGTGTTTGCATATAATTTAACTTTGTTTAATTAAAAGTGTAACTCGCCTTATTTTAAATAGTGGATATAGGTTGTGATATGAAACCATGGAAATCTGAAAATGTTTTATATACAGTACCATTATAGGAATCATGTATTGCTCCCTGACATCGGTGCACATAGAACACAATATTTAAGGCAGACTGGGGCAAGTTGTCACATTGGGAAGCTATCATAAAGGCTTTGAGTCAAAAGTCAAATTACGCAAATGCTGGTTTTCTCTTTAAGTTGTTTCAAATATTTAATTAAAGAGATCTTTTCTTTATTGTTTCTGGGACAAAAATTTATATCATAACATGTTTTTATGATATCTATTGGGGTCATTGTGGATTTTAATTGGGGCAGTTCATCATGTATTTTATATTATAATATACTGTACAATTTTACACATTTCATACATTCGTTTTTATGTAACAATTACTGTAGTCTAACAGACATGGTTATGCAAATGCATTCTGTGTGTTCATAAATGTCGTGCTGTTTAAATGTTGTTTATTGACTGTTTAATAGCAGGTTCTCATTGTGACAACTTACCCTCACATTGTGTGACAAAATATTCACACGTTTTTTTTAAAGAGAGAAAGATTTTTGTGCAGGTCTTTTTATGAGCTACTTCCAAAAAACATTTTGTCAAAGATTATTGCAAAATCTATTGTTTTTGGGTGGATGTGTTGGCTTGTCCTAATAAATAATCCCTGAATACTAAATACTTGTTTTGATATTCTTGGAAAAAACAGTACCAGTATTTGCTTAAACCAGATGTTTTTTCATCAGAGGATATAACAGTGCACACTAGATGTTTCTGATTATTAGCCTGCTGTGATAAAAAATGCCGTGCGATTCAGCTGGCAGGAATGTTTTTACTGTGACTTAAGCAATGTGGTTTCAGGCAACAAATGATTGCAGTCTTTTAGTTAGGCTCACAGCCTGCCCTGTTGGGAATCCTAGCGTTCGGTAGCGCTGCCGTGCGCTGGGCAGATCAGGAGCCGGGTCATATGGCACCCGTGTGGGGCGTGTGAAGATATGGATAATGGGGCCTCTAGGGGAACTTGAGTGTTTGTGTGTATTTGTTTGCTAGCTTGCGCTTTTAAGTGTTCGCGACCCCTCTAGGTCACTGTTTTCCATTTCTTCGACCCTGTATCTCCGCACCCGAGTTCACAGAAAATTTGCTTGCATCTGGAGGAGCATTTCCGATTTCCAGATGCTGCCAAGTCTTGTCTTTTCTTAGCACTGTCTCATCTCTCTTTGTAGTTTCACCATATCCATGTGGAGATGAAAAGCATATTGGGTCAAGAAGTACCAGTTGAAAGCTCTTGAGATTATACGGATGGCTCATTATTTGATCAGATTATGGTGACAGGCTGTTTAATGGACTGTTTAATAAATTGTCATTTGTTCCAGTAAGCATTAAATGTTCTTTTTTTATTCATTTTATTAAAATAATCAGGTTAAACGCTCCTCAGTTAAAACAGTCACTGATGTGTCTTTTCAGTTTAAAGATCTGCTTGTTTGTTCTTGTACATCAAGTCCCAAAACACACACACACACACACACACACACAAAGGGTCCTTGAATCCTTCCCACAAAGATGGAATTGAGCTGAGCAACATAATATGACTATTGTGATCTCCTTTAAAAACAAAACATGAGGAAAAAAGTATTTTTCGAACTCCTTTTGGAGTTCTTATCATGAATGAAAATAATGTAATTCTTAATGTTTCTGAAAATTGGCTTTACTTTCTGTATGCTGTATATATATATACAGTGGGTACGGAAAGTATTCAGACCCCCTTAAATTTTTCACTCTTTGTTATATTGCAGCCATTTGCTAAAATCATTTAAGTTAATTTTTTTTCCTCATTAATGTACACACAGCACCCCATATTGACAGAAAAACACAGAATTGTTGACATCTTTGCAGATTTATTAAAAAAGAAAAACTGAAATATCACATGGTCACAGTATTCAGACCCTTTGCTCAGTATTTAGTAGAAGCACCCTCTTGATCTAATACAGCCATGAGTCTTTTTGGGAAAGACGCAACAAGTTTTTCACACCTGGATTTGGGGATCCTCTGCCATTCCTCCTTGCAAATCCTCTCCAGTTCTGTCAGGTTGGAAGGTATACGTTGGTGGACAGCCATTTTTAGGTCTCTCCAGAGATGCTCAATTGGGTTTAAGTCAGGGCTCTGGCTGGGCCATTCAAGAGCAGTCACAGAGTTGTTGTGAAGCCACTCCTTCATTATTTTAGCTGTGTGCTTAGGGTCATTGTCTTGTTGGAAGGTAAACCTTCGGCCCAGTCTGAGGTCCTGAGCACTCTGGAGAAGGTTTTAGTCCAGGATATCCCTGTACTTGGCCACATTCATCTTTCCCTCGATCGCAACCAGTCGTCCTGTCCCTGCAGCTGAAAAACACCCCCACAGCATGATGCTGCCACCACCATGCTTCACTGTTGGGACTGTATTGGACAGGTGCCTGGTTTTCTCCACACATACCGCTTAGAATTAAGGCCAAAAAGTTCTATCTTGGTCTCATCAGACCAGAGAATCTTATTTCTCACCATCTTGGAGTCCTTCAGGTGTTTTTTTAGCAAACTCCATGCGGGCTTTCATGTGTCTTGCACTGAGGAGAGGCTTCCGTCGGGCCACTCTGCCATAAAGCCCCGACTGGTGGAGGGCTGCAGTGATGGTTGACTTTCTACAACTTTCTCCCATCTCCCGACTGCATCTCTGGAGCTCAGCCACAGTGATCTTTGGGTTCTTCTTTACCTCTCTCACCAAGGCTCTTCTCCCCCGATAGCTCAGTTTGGCCGGACGGCCAGCTCTAGGAAGGGTTCTGGCCGTCCCAAACGTCTTCCATTTAAGGATTATGGAGGCCACCGTGCTCTTAGGAACCTTAAGTGCAGCAGAAATTTTTTTGTAACCTTGGCCAGATCTGTGCCTTGCCACAATTCTGTCTCTGAGCTCTTCAGGCAATTCCTTTGACCTCATGATTCTCATTTGCTCTGACATGCACTGTGAGCTGTAAGGTCTTCATTAAATGTTTTTTATTCATTTTATTAAAATAATCAGGTTAAACGCTCCTCAGTTAAAACAGTCACTGATGTTTCTTTTCAGTTTAAAGATCTGCTTGTTTATTCTTGTACATCAAGTCCCAAAACACACACACACACACACACACACACAAAGGGTCCTTGAATCCTTCCCACAAAGATGGAATTGAGCTGAGCAACATAATATGACTATTGTGATCTCCTTTAAAAACAAAACATGAGGAAAAAAGTATTTTTCGAACTCCTTTTGGAGTTCTTATCATGAATGAAAATAATGTAATTCTTAATGTTTCTGAAAATTGGCTTTACTTTCTGTATGCTGTATATATATATACAGTGGGTACGGAAAGTATTCAGACCCCCTTAAAATTTTCACTCTTTCCTTGTGATGTTATTTGTACTTGATGAATGAAGAGGAAAGGTTCTTAGAACAATGTTCTTGGAACATTCTTATGTTATTAATATTTAAGTGTTTCTAATATTAGCAGAAAACAGTGATAATAATATTCACAGAAAACCCATATAATGTTCTTATAATATTAATAGAAAATGTGCTTAGAACAACATTTTGGGATGTTACATGTAACTGATGAACTAAATCTTTCTGATTATTCTCAGAAAGTCCTTTAATTATTAGAAAGATCAGCTAACGGGGAAGTTTTTTGAACATTTTCAAAATGATAGAATGGAATGTTAATCTAACATTCATATAACCAAGAAGCAATGTTCCTAATACAGAGATAACATTTTCATAACTTAATGTGAATGTTAGCAAAATGTTCTTAAAACATATGATTGTTAGCTTGGTAGACATTTCTTCATTCACACATTCATTGCAACTGTAACCTCTGACCTCAGTGTTTTTCATTGCTACCATAGGAATTTGAGAATGCAGAGGGAGAGGAATATCCAGCGGACATGTCCACGCCGGCATCGCCTGCATCTCACATCGGTCCTGACGTCTATATCCTGCCTCTCACCGAGGTCTCGCTACCCGTCGCCAAGCAACCTGGCCGATCAGGTGGGTCATCATCACACCACATCTGTGGAAATTGCTATATGAGCTGGACCAGATGTGATAGCACTTAAGAAAGGCTGATTTCCTCCCAGTCCTGAATCCGCTCTGACCCCGCTTATGCAACTCCCATACGAGTTTAACATTCTCTGGACTGAGTTTTTTTTCCAGAGGATATTGTTAATGTGTTCGGTCCCGCTTCCAACCCACAAGATCTCCAGTGTAAAATCCAGAAGAGACCAACGCCCTGCTGCCTCCACTCTTCCCTCCTGGGGCGGACATTCTCCCACAACCCTGCCTTGCTCTGGACCTTCAGAACCCAGGCCATCTGCTCCGTGCTGATGGCTATCAGTGTTGTGCAAAATTCACAATTAAACAATGCAAACTTCAATTTATGAGTGTGAATTTTAATTGAATTGGCCACACCCTGCAGGAAGCTGAATTGGAATTTGAATGGGAATGATGGGATGAGGATTTTTTTCAATTAAAAAATTAAAGTAAATATGATGAAATATACAAACTAAGCACAAATTTCTATTGGTTACTTTTCAAACATACAGTATCTACACTACCACTAAGTTTGTGATTGGTGAGATTTAAAAAAATGTTCACTTTAAAAATTTTCACCAAGGCTGAATAAATTTGATATAAAATAAAGTAAACAGTAATATTATGAAATATTATTACAATTTAAAAATATATTTAAATAGATTTTAAAATGCAATTTATTCATGTGATGACAAAGCTGAATTTTCAACCATTACTTCAGTTATAAGTCTCTGTAAAACAGACCTTCAAACTAAAAGGCTTTTTAAATTTGCTTTTCTAACAAAAAATTTTGGTTATATGAATCTTCAGTCTTTGAGTTCCATTCTATGGAAGCCCATTTCCACCACTGAATAAAAAAAAAAGGTAATTGCGATTTTTTTATCTCACAATTCTGACTTTTTATCTCGAAATTCTGACTTTTTTCTCAGAATTGCATGATACAAACTCGCAATTCTGACTTTTTTTCTCAGAATTCGTTGATATGGGGCCCTATTTTAACGATCTAAGCGCATGGTCTAAAGCGCACGTCGCAATTGCGCTTAGGGCGTGTCCGAATCCACTTTTGCTAGTTTAAGGACGGGAAAAACGGTCGGTGCGCCCGGCGCATGGTCTTAAAGGGTTGTCTCTATTCTCTTGATGAGTAATGGTTGTCTTTTGGGCGTAAAATATGCCATAAATCAATCAGTCTCATCTCCCATTCCCTTTAAAAGCCAGTTGCGCTCGCACCATGGCGGATTCACTATTTGCATATCAGAATTTGCAAGCTGAAAAACGGAGCGCTTCTCTAGTGAGGGAACAGATCTGCTTGTGCGCGTAATTCTGATACATGCAAAGACTATCCATTATGACATGTAGGCATTTTTATATTTATGTACACAATAATAATATTTTACATTTTAATCCTTTAATTTTTTATTTAAAAAAATTTTTGTGTGCTGCTGCGCATCCCTGTGTGTGTAATAAGCAAAGTGTACGCGCGTTGTGCACCCACCTATAGGCGCATATTACTAACGCGCTTTTAAATAACAAAAAAAAATATTGCGCCAGACTTTAGACCAGGTTTTTGTTGGTCAATGGCGCAGTCTATTTCAGTTGTCTCAAAATAGCAACGTAACAGCAATGTGCCTGAACACACCTAGTTTTTAGACCAGCACGCCCATGGGTGCACAAATGGGCGCAAATGCATTTGCTATTTAAACAACGTGGCGCAGGATGTGAAAATGACAACTGCGTCGGGCTAAAACTAGCAAAAAACGCGTGCGTCGCACCTGGAGCCGCATTGCACCGGATGTATGATAGGGCCCATAAATATGGAAGCATATAGGTAGCGAAATTCAATTTAAAATGCAATATGCAAAATGGCAATGCAATATTAAAAATGGCATTGTATTTCTGTATTTAAATTTACATTTTCCATTACCCATACGTGCAAAGTTTGGTGCAAAAGTAAAATGTGAATTTTGCTACAAATATCCCACGGCGTCATGATGAAAATGCAATCCTAAGTGTTCTAACTGTTAGTCTACATGCATTTAGGACAAATAGCATTTAAATGATCATTTTGCTACCATTTCTGCTTGAACGTGTTACACATATCAAATCTATTTGTGTTATACATTTTCATTTTCATTTCGTAACTTATAAAGCGTTCAAATTTGCATGCAATTTACATATTAAGGCTACTGTTGGAAATGGCAAATGTAAATTATATAATTTAATTTTCATTTTCCTTTTGCAACAAACTTTGCACGTATGGGTAATGGAAAATGTAAATTTAAATACAGAAATACATTGCCATTTTGAATATTGCATTGCCATTTTGCATATTGCATTGCCATTTTGCATATTGCATTTTAAATTGAATTTCGCTACCTATATGCTTCCATACATAAACTCGCAATTGCGAGAACAAATCAGTCTTTTTTGCCCCCAAAATTGGACTTTATAACTTGCAATTGCGAATTTATATCTCACAATTCTGAGAAAAAATTTCAGAATTGCCCGTTTTTAACTCGCAATTCTGACTTTATTTCTCGCAATTGTGAGTATATATCTCCCAATTCTGACTTTACAGGTGCATCTCAATAAATTGGAATGTCGTGGAAAAGTTCATTTATTTCAGTAATTCAACTCAAATTGTGAAACTCGTGTATTAAATAAATTCAATGCACACAGTTTCCGTGACATTCTAATTTATTGAGATGCACCTGTATAACTCACAATTGCAAGTTTATATCACAATTCTGAGACACTATTCCTTTTTTTATTTTTTATTCAGTGGCGGAAACGGGCTTCCATACCTTTCAGTTTAGCTGTCTCACATTAAAATTCAAATTGTAGTCTTGTTTTCTACCTCAATTCAAATTCAGCAACTGAATTAGCATTCTCATTTCAAATAGCGCACAACTCTGATAGACATGGAAAAATAATGGGAGCTTTGGCTCTCCGTATTGCCTTTAACCATTCTCTTTCTTTGTCTCTCTGGACTGTAATCTATGGGTTGCCCTGAGACCACAAGGCTGGTGGGAACAAACACGTTGAAAAGAAACAGACGTTTCTTCTCTTTTTTTCTAATTTCTGTTATTTGCGTGCGCTTCACTGGTGCAAATTCCCTTGTTTTTCAGTACAAACATCCTTAAAGATTAAGACTTGTTTACATAGAATATTTCACTAATTAAGTTTATTTTTCTTACCCCACTAGCAAATTGTCTAGAAATCAAAACATTTTTTTTTTGTCTTTGTTTTCCGGATTTCTCCTTCTTATTCCATCTCAATCCGCACAACATCTGCCTGTTGCATAATGCCGCCTCAGCCAGCCTACATAAATGTGCCTTGGAATCTAAGGAATCTGGGAGACGATGTGTACAGTCCGATCCATGGATACTCTGTCTCTCTCTTCCCCACAACAACTCACTTTATTATAGCCTGGCAGGCCTTAATGTGGTGCGATTAGTAGAGGCCAGAGGTTAAGAGGTTGTGGTTTTCTAGATTCAGTTCACACAACTCTCACGCTCTGGCATTTCATTAACGCGATCAAAGTCAAAATCCCACTATGGTATAGTCTGCAATAAGAATTTCAAAAACGGCCCTGGTCTTTAGGAGTGGCTGGAATGATGTCACTTCTCAAGGATGAGGTTGAGGTAAGAAATACAAACCTCCTGCCAGGAAGTGCAGGTCTCAGTCACCGTGACACAGAATAGCATCTGTCTGTAATCAGACGTGTCTTTCTTCTCCTGGGATGTCAGTTAGACAAATGAAGAAGCTAGTTGTAGTGTTTATCATCCGATTTGAGATGTTTCAGCCAAAGAGGTTATGTATTGCACTCTGGCGTGCAGTATCCACCCCAACACAGCTGTGCTCATAAACACACCCTCATACACACACAGATCTGAGCAAGCGAATACTCTAAAGATCACATCATTTCATATGTAACTTGCACACACCCTCTTTATCACACTCACTTCATTAAGTTACATCACTAAAATATTATTCAAACTCATTTGCATTGCTGGGAAAAACAGTCTTGAGGGACAAATAAAGCAAGAGGTGCACAGCAGCAGTGAACACACTTCACCGTGTTCAATAATGTATGATAATTCTATTTGGTTAGAGTCGAATGATTTCTCTCCATTATTTTCCCAGCGAATGCATTCCCAGCAGCCATCTGGCCAGCGTGCCACTGTCACTGACCAACACCGCAGTAATGAGCAAGCCAAGTAGTCAATCATGTATTCAAATTACACTATGAGCAAATTCTGATACGTGGTGGGATTTTTGTTGGCACGTTGTTGTCATGCTTTTGGCAGACCTCAATGTTTTTCTGTTTAGGGCTGTTTTGTTCATATTTGGCTGCGTACACACTGAAGTTTTAGTGACAGGTGCATTTAATGTGGAAGTTAGTCTCCTAAATTAAGGTTTTGTGTGTGTGCAGTGTACTGAATAATAAATAGAATCAAATAAGTCTTGAACTTGGTTGACGCAACAGCAATATTTTGGTGTGTCATGGCTGTATAAGACAAATAAATGCCAACAGTTCGCTTTTTTTGGCTAAACTACCACTAACCTGGAAAATTCAGTTAGCTGTGTTTTGGGAATTTGATAGTTGGCATGGATATTCCAGCAGAACAGAAATTGGAAGATGGATTATCATCTGGAAATTGTTATTCGGTTTGGATTTGTAATGACATTTTGTTGTAAGCAATACATTTCGCTATATTTTTTGAAAGTGAATTTGTAAAGTACTGGACTAACATGAGAAAAGCAATATTTTGGTGTACTTTCAGCTGTAAACAAGAAACATATGCCAATACAGTAGTTTGCGTTTTTCAACCAAGCTAATGCTAACCTGCTGAAGCATTCCGTTTGAGCTGTTAGCTGTGTTTTGGAACATTGTAGCAGATTTCTAGCTGACCTAAACTGGTAATTAACTGGCCTAAGTCAGTCAGACCATGTTCAAAAAACAGCCTGAATACCATAAACTAGTATGACAAGCTAACAGCAAGGTTGTCTAGCAGCTTGGACCAGCTAATGGCCATCTAGAAACCAGCTGTCACGTTCCAAAACACAGCTCAAACTGGTTGTTCTAGCAGAATACTAGAGAATTGTCAAGTATATACTTTTATACAATACTATTTATATCCTGTTGTATTATGTATTCATATTCTGAATTAGCTTTTTCAACATTTTAAGTTTTAGTCATTTGTAAAATATTATTTATTACAAATATTACTTAAAATAGTTTTTAAAATATTACGTTTTATGTTTTTTTTTTTCTGTGTAGATTAACTTATTTCTCTGTTTTAGTTTTAGTAATTTTAGTACTTAAAGATATAGTTCACCCATAAATTTTGTCATTAATTACTTACCCTCATGTCGTTCCAAACCCATAAGACCTTCGTTCATTTTTGGAACACAAATTAAGATATTTTTGATGAAATACGAGAGCTTTCTGACCCTGCATAGTAACGCAACTGAAACGTTCAAGGCCCAGAAAGGTAGCAAGGACATCGTTAAAATAGTCCATGTGACAGCAGTGGTTCAATCTTCATTTTATGAAGCTACGAGAATACATTTTCTGAGCAAAGAAAACAAAAATAGCTACTTTATTCAGCAATTCTATGCAAAGAATTTTCATTTTTGGGTGAGCTTGTTTATTTTAGCTACAGTTCATCTAATATTGATATTTTATTTTATTTCAGTTTTATTTCGAATACCAAATGTTATTTTTAATAGTTTTACTTTGAGTTAACAATAACAACACTGGTATAATATTTGAAATTGTTCTTTGTATTTGGCTTTGCGCTGCTAATGTTTGATATAAACATTGATTTAATTCATAACTTAATTTCACACAGTTGAAACCCAGGCAGTTTGTAACAATATCTTCAGTCTCTTCATATATTCTGTACTGTTGTTTGCAATCCCACTGTAATATAATATTTATTCTGATTTGTTCTTTCCTATCCCGCGCCCACATCAAACATTTCTGATTTGCTTACCGGTCCTTTCCCAGTCTCGAGCTAGAAAACTCAGGAATAATAGCATTAGTGTTTCCATCCTCTGAGTGGTACCAAGCAGCACCGCCGGCATGACAAAGAGCCCAATTCTTCCCAGCGAGGGCTCTCTGAGAGGGGGCAGGCAGAATGAGCAGCCTCTACAACACCACATGGGCGTAAAATATGGCTGCTGCATAAAAAGGGGACAGAGAGTGAGACGGTATGTCATACACACTGACAATAAACCGTCTGTTTGTGGGCACGATGAGATGAGAGAAAGAGAGAAAGGGACTGTTATGGCTTTGCGAGATGATAGAGATATGTAAGGATCTGTCAGACGAGAGGTTGAATGGTACAGAAAATCACTCATCAAATCCGTCCCTACTGCGGTAGACTCCTGCTTTTCAGAAAATATGCCTTTCAAGCAGTCTGATAGTTTACGGGAAGATTCTGAACTCTTCAGACAGTCTCTTGAAATTGATTTTGTGCCGTTTAACATCACTCTTGCACAGAAGATCGCTCACTGCTTTTTGGAGAGGATATTTGGAGGATGATTGTCTTGTTGGAGGAAAATCTTGACGAAACTTCACTTAATGCACTTGCAATGCTCAACTGTGCACTAAGGGTGTGTTGAAACGGTTGTTAACATTATTCATATAGTTTTTTTTTCTTGTTTTTTTTTTCTATTTAATCAAATTAATTTAAATGTAATTCATTTTTATCAGTATTTTTCTTGTATTAAATAGGGGTCCAAAATTTTGAGAGTACAAGTGAAAATGCTGCTGTTGTGCATTTTTCTAATTTCATTTTTCTAATTTTTTTTTTTTTATTATATCTTCTGCGTATCAAATTAATTGGAATGGTGATGACAGCAGCTCTTAAAATTTGAGAATGATCCCAAAAGCATCTTGCGCTTCAAAAGAAGCAAAGAACATCTGTACAACAGAAATATTTATTCATGTTATGTCATTTTTCTTGATTCAAATTCTAAAGCTTTCTAGATTTCATTAGATATTGAATTCCAAATGTGACATTGTTCCATTGGTCCAGTTGCTAATTAATGTCTTGTTCTCTGTCTCTTGTTCTTTATCTCTGTCTTTTTATTTCCTGAAAATCATCTTTTAGTCCAGCTCCTGAGACCCACGGATCTTGGCCGCCACAGTTTGCTTTGTATAAAGGAGATTGGACATGGCTGGTTTGGCAAGGTAAGTGTAGTTGGTTTGTTTGTTTGTTTTGTATGTTTGTGCACCTCACAGACATGAACGCCCTAAGTGTGTTCTGCTACAGATCAAAGATTTAGCTCTGTAGTTTAGTCCCAAGGACGTGAAAATATCTTCCACACTGTTTTACCTTAGTAATACTCAAGCTTTGATGTTGGACTTGTGTCTTGACTGTTCCCTGTGAGAATTTGATGATATTTCTGTGTAGCAGTGAATTCCAGAAGCTCTTTAGTATTTCATGGGAATAACTGTGCCTCATTCATTCTCATTCTTTCTCTCTTTCTCTCTACTTCTTTGTCTTTTTGTAACACACATACACACACACACACACTACCCCAATTACCCCAACTTTCCATTGAATGGGTATGTCCATCTGTATGTCTGTGTCTCTGTGGCTGCATGTTTATCGATGTCTCATCTGGTTTTGTGTTGTTTCGTCTTTCTGCATTTCCTTTTGAGCATCTTTTCGCATGACTCCTGGACTTGATTTAAACCTTTTTGGCTTTGTTTGTGTGGAATATCTGTCTTCCATTTCCTTCCTTCCTTCCTGTGTACCCATTTCCTTTATGTGCACATCTGTTCGTGTCTATCTGTGTCACCCTGTCCATAATTGTGTGTGTTGTCCATTTTCCCTCTGTTCATACCTGTATGTGTGTTTCTGTTGTCTTTCCCTTGTGTGTTTGTGTATCTGTGTGTCACAGGTATTGTTGGGGGAGGTTCACTCTGGTCTCAGCAGTACCCAGGTGGTGGTGAAGGAACTAAAGGCCAGTGCCAGCGTGCAGGACCAGATGCACTTTCTGGAAGAGGCTCGGCCATACCGGTAAACAATCATGCATTATTTAATTTATATATTTTATTTCATCTCTTTTACAAGAATAAATAAGGTTTGAAAAGTCATAGGTTCAAACTCCTCCTAGGGGGACCATATGAAAAATATACCTGTTGCTTAGACTAAAATGTCTGCTATAATTAGTAATTTGTAATAAACACATTGATTAATGTACCGTAAGACATTAAATGGATAGTTTACTCAAAAATAAATGTTTTCTCATCATTTACTCACCTACAAAATCCTTTATCCAAATGATGTTTCTTCTGTAAAACACAAAGATATTTTGAAGAAGGTTAAAAAACGTACTGTACATAAAAAATAAAAAAAAATGAAAATGAAAGTGAAAGGGGTCCAAAACAACACTGACCCCATTGACATTTATTTTATATACAAAAAAAAACAAAAAACAGAACATGTTCTTTTGGGTTCTACAACAGAAAGAAATTCATAAATGTTTGGAACAACATTAGGGTGAATAAATGATGACAGAATATTAATTTTTGGGTGAACTACAATATCTCTGTAATATGAGTGTATAGTATGATTGGGCTCAAACTGTTTCTGCAGGTCTCTCCAGCATCCGGCTCTAGTGCAATGCCTCGCTCAGTGCACAGAGGTCACACCCTACTTAGTGGTCATGGAGTTCTGCCCACTGGTTAGTCCATTGTTTTATTTTATTTTATTTTATTTTATTTATTTTTTTTTTTTTTATTAAAAAAATATTATATCTTTATATCTTGAGGGAAGACGTGCTATTATTTTTGTCTATTATTTTGCCTGGTGTAAAGAAAAAAAAAACAGGTTAAAAAATCCCATAGGTTTTCATTGAAGGCCATATCTAGACACCACAATATGATGGATCATTTAGATCATTTGGCCAGAAAGCAAACATTTCAGAAAATTTAAGCTATATAAAAACAGTCGATTTTGCTGCTTGATGTTGCAAACTGGTATTTGTTATCATATTATTTTAATTTATCCTAATAAGAAAAAGTGGTTTGTTTCCAAGATATTTTTACCGTTAACTGCACTTTTTTATTCTTCTGTGTATTTACCTATAGCAGCTCATGAACCAGAAGTCTCGCACATTCAGACTAAAATAGTTTACTTCAGCACTGAAAAATAAGGTGGAAATGCAAGAGTCACAACATGATAGTGTGCTCCTTTATTTCATATCATTCTTCTCCTGTTATGGCCTACCTAGGTCAAATGTGCAACAGCACGTTTTTTGAAACAGAACTGCTCTTAGCAACAACATCAAACAGCTGCCCTCATGATGTCTTGCTATATATCGCCCCCCAATGGTTAGCTGAGGAAAATCAGGCTGACAGCACACTCTTTTGATGTTTATGCATACTGATTTGTATTTACGCCTTACCTTTGTGTTTTAGCATGTGTTTTATGTGTTCCATGTCAACAGGGTGATGTTAAAGGTTACCTGCGCAGCTGTTGGGCAACAGATTCAATGACCCCTGACCCCTTACTACTTCAGAGGATGGCGTGTGAGATCACTTCAGGCCTGCTTCACCTTCACAAAAACAACTTCACCCATAGGTCAGCCAACACTTTTATATTTACTTCAACATTCTATTTTAATGCACAAATCTATGTTTAGAGAATCTGAATTTTTTAGAACCAAAATATAATAGTTATCTTTTTTTTTTGTTGTCATTCTCAAATTGAGTACTGGAAAACTGCTAACAGATTTAACGGTATGAGCATGAAGCTAATGAGTGTGAATATCTGCATTACCTGTTTCCTGTCTTATGGTTTCTCCCTGCAACAATCTCCTGATGCTGCCTGAGTGTTTTTACTCCACTCCAGCATCAGTGATTTTGTTGCCGGGGGTCACCACACATCTACAAGCAACTTAAACATGTCCTTGCCAAGATGCTTTGAACAGGTTCCTGAAGAATTATTTTTGGAAAGTAACATCACAATGCAGAAAAATGATGGCTATTTCTGGCATTGCATCTGTCATGCTTTGTAACTGTATGTTAATTTTATGCATGCTTGCAGTTTTGTAAATGACATCCAGTTATGTTTGAGCCAACAAAATGAAATCATTTAGGCCATGTCCTATTTTCAGAAGGTGCTTATCATTTATTTATTTATATTTGGTGCTCTGATTTTCTGCAGTGATCTGGCTTTAAGAAACTGCCTGCTTTCCTCAGACATGAAAGTTAAGATTGGAGACTATGGACTAGCACGCAACAAGTACAAGGTGTGTGCACTTAAATCTATACATTTTTTTATCTACTAAAATGTATCTATAAAATATCTAATTATGAATAGTAATACAAACCTGAATGTTAGATTACATTCATTTAGAAGTTGATTTTGTGCTTTTTTTATTCAAAATGTATGTTAGTGTATTTCATTAACTTGTATTTCATGTCTGTTCATCCCCAGGATGACTATTTTGTGACATCAGACCAGACCTGGGTTCCCTTACGCTGGATTGCTCCTGAACTGGTTGATGAGGTTCATGGTAACTTACTGGTGGTGGACCAAACCAAGGAAAGCAACATCTGGTAAGTACCTTCAAAAGAGGCTACAGCACAGAGTAAATTCTTTCATCTGTAGAACATACATCTAGTGTTGAATTTAGGCCTTTATTTTGCAGTTTAAGAAAGATCATACCGCCTCCTAAATAAATAACCTTTATTATAGATATCAAATCATTATTGATTGATGCATGAATTGCTGTTAGTTACCAAAATTTCTCTCTGTACATAGGTCACTCGGTGTAACAATCTGGGAGCTGTTTGAGTTGGGGAATCAGCCGTACCGCCATTATTCAGACCGACAGGTTCTCAGCTATGCTGTAAAGGACCAGCAATTGAAGCTGCCCAAGCCACTTCTTAAGTACCCTCTTTCTGACCGCTGGTGGGTGTCTAATAAACTTTATATTGCTCTTCTTACTCTTTTTATTAACCATTACCTAGAGTTAGAGCCTTGAATTTTTATTTTGCTAGAGCCTTTCAATTTTCTCCCTACTCTTTTCAAGTCCTTGCCTTTAAAACTATTTAAATTTTGTTGTTTAGATAGTTTGGCCATAACACAATGTAGCTGTATTTTTGTGTAAATTTCCAGTTAAAATTTCTAAAAATCCTTGAAACAAAATAAATTTACTCTAGGTCCAACACTGCATTAGATATTAATAGTATACTGTATATAATCGATAAAACCTTATTGTAATATCCTGTATTTGTGCAGTGTTATTTTGATAGAAATACATGAAATACTGAGTCTCTTTTTGTTACAAGATTTTATGCTTTTATTTTTTTTTCACACAATACACAAATATTATGAAACACTTAAAACAAACAAGAAATTGAAATCACCATTAAATTATATGGACACATTGGAGTCCAAACATGTTGTAATTTTGATTTATGTATTTTTGCATTTAAACGTGTAAATATACAAGGTTTTAAATATTTTTATGAGCACAATAAAGAAAAATGTTATAGAATGAATACAATAAATTTACCATTCTCCACTACCATTAGTCTCTAATCAATTATATTGATATATATTGTTTATAGATTAATCTCAATCTGTAAAATGCAATCTATAAAAAAATCTTGATATTATATGCAGTGTTACTTCTCAAGTAAATGTATCTTGTTTTAAGGATGTTTAGATTTCTACTGAAAAATAGATTTAAAAGAAAAGCTCATTAAGTCACTTTGGAAGTGAAAATTTTAGTAACAGTTGCCCTAAAAGTGTATGTTTGTGTTTCTGTATCACCAGGTATGAAGTAATGCAGTTCTGTTGGCTTCAGCCTGATCAGAGGCCCAATGCGGAAGAAGTTCATCTGCTGCTTAGTTACCTATGTGCCAAAGGAGCCAGTGAGGCAGAGGAAGACTTTGAGAGACGCTGGAACTCCATGAGACCAAACACAAGCCATGCTAATGTCCATGGAGCTGGTGCACTAGCAATCGACATGCCCATGTCATCCACCACTTCATCATTCCCCCTACTGGAACAGTTCCCCACTGGAGATGGCTACCATTCAGAATCTGGAGATGACATCTTAACGGTTACTGAAACCAGCCATGGCCTCAACTTTGAGTACAAGTGGGAGCAGGCACAGGCTGAACAACACTACCATTCTTCATCCACGTCAGGCACTTTGGGTCAAGGCAATCCCCATTGTCAGGAGGTCTACTACCCTCCAGGTGGAATAGTGGGGGGCTGTGCTGTTGAAGGACTCACCCTAGGGGTTTCTCCTTCATATTATGAGTCCAAACAAATACACACCCCTGGTGTGGTACCAGTTCTGAGTGCTCACAGTCCATCAGTGAGTAATGAGTACTACATTCGCATTGAGGAGCCAGTACAAAGCAATACTGATATGAACTTCACCCTGTGTGCTTACAGTCCAGAGTTTGGGGGCAACAGTGGAAGCTTTCTAACAGGTAGTGGAGACTCTAGGGAGTGTATGAACTGTCCCCCTGAAGCTAAACCTGACATTTATTGGTCAGCGGATATCCACAAAAGCAGTGCCTATGATTCCGACACCAGTCCTGCTATGTCTCTAACTATGGGGCCTCTTTTGGGCCATGGTAGCCCTCTTAGAGCATGGGAGTCTGGTCACTATGTCTCATACAAAGACAGGGATGGAGGTTACTACTATGAACCATCACCTCCTAAGATCATGGACCGCTACCTGATACGAGATCCAACAGAGGCTCCACAAGAGAGCTGGGGGTCTCGAAGCTTAAGACAGGCACTTGGGGAACTGGAGGAGCCTTTAGGTGTCTCCCCATCACTTGGAAGTCCTCCACAAGGCTATGCTGATCCTTACTTGGAGAGCATTCAAGGCTCCATTATAGTAAAGAACGTTACGGGAGGATATTATGATATGATGGGCTCTTTGAGGAAGACTATGCCAGGTAGCCACTCAGTTTGTATTGACATGGCGTCAGGTGGTGCTATATTTGTAGGACGAGATGACAGCGACTCTGAGGAAGAGGAAGACATCTTTGTGGAAAGGCGAGCAAGAAGCTGGTCCACCAGCAATCCAACAAATACAAACACAAGGACCTTGCGTCAAAGGCAGGGGTTTTGTATCCAAGATTCGTATGCAGATTTCCACTACACTATGCCGATGACTGACGTTGAAGATACATGGCCAGAAGAGCAGACCCTGCTGTACCATATGGCCAAACCGGTTGACTACTTAGAGGCAACAGTCAAAAGCAACACTTGCCTGGTGCATGGAAGACATGTACCTTCAAACCCTTCACCCGAGTGCAGCTCGTATATCCATATGTGCCATGAACCCAGAGAGGCTGAAGTATATCCCGTGCCATGTTGTCAAGCTTTGAGCAGTTCACATTTTGTAGATCCTCTAACAGGAACACTTGTGAGGAACTGCTTCATGATTGACTGTATTCCAGGGAAACCAATGACATTGCCCAAAAAAGACCAACATCTAGGCCAAGCACCTTTATCTGCTGGACATATAGTTTCCAAAATAGAGCCATCAAGGGAAGGTGCCAAACAGTTTGATGTCTCACAGCAGTATGTGGATGTTAGGGTAGGAGAAACAAACTTGAAGCAAGAAAAAGCTTTGCATGAAGATGTATCTCTAATGGATCCCAAAACTGAAATTATTGCCATCACTCCACAATTGGAGAAATCCCAAGCAGAGTTACCCAAATCAGAGCCAGAGTCAGACTTAAGCAAGACAGCGGACAGCGGTGTGGACCATGGACGCTCTAGTATCAGTCTGGTGGAGATTGATGACTGCAGCGACGATGACATCACTGACGTAACCTCAGGGATTTTTGGTGATTTCACCATTGAAGTAGAAACTGTTGACTACATCAATCCAACATTCAAGTCATTACAAAAGCAGGTTGGTACCCCAGACTCCATGGACTCGATTGACATACCATCCACAGCATGTTCCAGCGAGACACTCAGTCCTGCCTCCATCCATCCGTCAAGCTCTCCCAAGACAGTGGACAGTGGATATGACACCGAAAACAATGAATCTCCAGAGTTTGTCCAAAAGGAACCCCATGAGCTACAAGATTCTAGGGTTTTCATCCAACCCTTGGGAAAAGTGATATCTGGGTCTAACTTTGAACAAGAGATTATAAGCGCAGAGGATGAGAAGCTAGAGGACAACGTTGATACTGTAATGGCATTGACAACATCTGAAAGCAATGATGGAGAGCTGAAAGCACTGAGTGATAAAACTCCATACAGAGATTCGGCCTACTTCTCTGACTATGATGCCGGGAAAGATAAAGAAAGCGAAGAGGACATCGATGAACTCGAATATCAGAAAGATGGAATGGAGGAAATTATAGATAAAGAGGAGCTACTTCCTCCAAAAAAGGAGGCAGATGAAGATGAATATCTTTTGCCATCTACAAAGGAAAGTGAAAAAACTCCTGAAAACTCTCATGATGCAACTTCAAATGTTCCATCAAAGATCAATGAAGGTATGTCTGGTTGTGACACAATCAGTAGTGTGTCTCTCTCATCTCCTGATAATGAAGTGTCTACCATAAAAGGTCATTTTGGCCATAATGAAAATCTTGGTGTAGATTCAGATCTTTCTGCAGAACTTGTACCATCAGAATCTGAAGGATCTAATTCAGATGCTTTGCTTGGTCCCGACGTAAAGCAAGAGGAATCTTTCAAACAAGTAGGCAGTGAAGATAGACTGTCTCTCGACCAAGTAACTTCTGAGGGTGATGTTGCAAACACCAATATTCCAGAGGTCCTTATTGATGAGAATGAAGAGGGCATAGTCAAAGATGTGAGCTGTATCATTTTGTCCGAAGAGGAACTAGCATCTCAGAAGGAAACAGCAGAAAGGAACTTTTCCCCTACACATGAGGGACTGGAATCCAGGAGTAAGGACTGTGAAGAAGGAGGACGCAAAAGAAGCTCCACACGTTCTGGCTCTCCTCCCCCTCCACTAGAAGGACGGGTATCTCCCACAGATGGAGAGGAGGCAGATGAGGAAGATGGCGACTCTGAGGATAGCGATGAGTCCGATGAGGAGCTGCGCACTTACAGTATCCAGGAACAGAGCGAAGAAAGCGAGGACGAGATCTTGACCGTACCTATCATTGTGAGCGATTGCAGTGATGCACACAAACTCAGAAGTCTCCTTAAGATACCAATGCTGCTCAGTGATTCACTGTCTGACGAAATGGAGAACAAAAAGAAAGTGGTGTCTTTTTTCGATGATGTCACTGTCTTTCTGTTTGACCAGGTATTTATTGTCCAGTTATTTCAAGAGGCTTTCAAAGATATATTGAATCACATTTGAGTACTTTTGAAGTTTAATATAAAATTATGTCAACCCCACCAGGAAAGCCCAACCAGAGAGCTGGCAGATCAAAGTTTTCCCTTGGGTGGAGAGTCAAGCAAACCGAGTGCAAAGGGTAAAGCACAAGACCAGCAGGAAAAGATCAATGCCTCTGATGACTCTTCTGATGGAAACATCTCAGAAGAGAGTAAGATACTTTTTCCCTCTTTTTTGCCCATCTTTTTTCAAGAAATTTTAACACTAATTATTTACCGTCCTGCTTTCTCTTTGATCTAAGGTGCAGGGTTTGAATGGGAAGATGATTTCCCATTGTTGCCCCTTCCCACATCTTCTAAGGGGTCTCCACTGGACATCACTCCAAAGCCGAGCCTAACGAGTGGCAGTACTAAACCTGTGGCACAGGTCTCCCGTTTTACCGTTTCTCCATCCAGTGTGTCACGTTTCTCCATCACACACATCTCAGATTCAGATATGGATTCTGCAGGAGGTGAGACAGCACATGTTTGAAGCAGTGTTCTTATAATAAACTTTTTCCCCATCAGCATTTTTTTTTTTTTTAAGTTGCAAGCCAGTACCACCATTTTTGATCATTTTCACAAAGTTTTCATGGTCCCTAGAATATTTAGTTGTATGAATATCTGAACATGCGATATATCAAAAAAAGAGTTTTGTGCTTTTGTCAAAGACTACGCATGTTAGCTTACATGTGTGCGAGCAATGCTTCTGTTGCTTGTTTTTGCTTCTTCACTTGATTTTGCATCTAGAGATTCTGTACTATTTCAGAAGATGCACAATAGCGCCCCCTAATGTATATCAGTGAAAACATGGATTGCCAGAACATTCTGTCAATGGTTCAATTTCATGACTCCTAAACAAGCTAAAATGAAAATGTGCACAAATTAATGTTAGTTTTAAAGTACATTATGTTTTGATTTTTTTTACGCGTAATATATTTCACATGATATTGTCTTCGAACAGATTTGTTCTACAGAAAAATCAGTTTTTATTTTCCAAATACTTTAGATACTCCTGTGATAATTTTGCATGTTAATTAAACAAAGCTAATATAAATTTGATGTTTTTTCCCTGTTTTAAAGGGAGCAGTGAAGATGGGGAAAGAGAGTGAATCACCATACTACTGCCAACACTGAGCAGCACTGGCAGACACTTATTTATTTTTGTTTATTTTTTATTTTTTTTATTGAGTAGATCACAATAAGAAGGAGATTTTGATCTCTTTGGAAACCGTTTTGGATCCCCTTAAAGACAGTGCCTCTTAATGTCAGCAAACACTTCAGAGCAGCCCTTTCAAAAGGGTCCCAGAAGAAAAAAAAATATGTGGGAATGACTAAAACATAATAGGAAACAAACAAAAATTAAGCGTATTATAAATGAAACAGAGTTTGGATGGATCTGCTTAGTTTATATGGACCTACTGGAAACTGACTGTGACTGTTTACAACATCAGATACTCTGTTCAGCAGATTGTCAGATACAAAAATTGAATGAGCGAAATGTAACAAAACTAAACTGAACTGATTTTTACTGTGAAATATCAATGCAGTGTTGTTTGTCTATAAAAGGAGGAGTTTTAAAAAGGAGAGGTTATTTAAGTGTTTTTATGACTAAAATGAAGTTCACGACACACAGCTGCCTTGTGTTTGTCACCTGCCTGAGAGTAGCATTGTGTTATGGTGACATGGCATTCTGAAACCACTTTTATGATTTTATTAATAATCACACTAGGATTATTATTATCGATTCTCTTTCTTCGTGATTTGAATGCTTAGTGTTTTAGATCATTTTGTTATTTATTTACTTATTCAGTGCTTCAATTTAAATCAGTTTGCACATGATATGATTATTTGTCATTGTTTGCTATTTCCGTTCATAGCAGAAATCATGTTTCACAGTTTGACTTTGAATATCTGCAGTTAAATCCATAAAATAATAACAAAAAAGATGACCTTTTTTAATAGTGAAGTTTTAACATGCAGTAGAAAAGTAGAAAAACTACTCAAAATAATCTCAAAAATAAATATTAAACCATATGTAATTGACAACCTATTATGTAATGGAGGATTTGATGATTTGACATATATTTAATAATGTATTTAGGGTGACTACTGGTGAAGAGGGACACTTAAACTCAAGCATCATCATTAATATATTGTAGCCATTTGAATCATATTATAAAACATGATTACAAATGATCAGAAAGTGTTCCAGTTTACCTGTATTCACCCTATTAAATGATGCTGTACATGCTTGCTACCTTTGAAGATTGAAGCCAGGTTGTATTATGATCAGGGTGTTAATCATATACTTAAAGAGTGTTATTTATTAGTCAACATGTTTTATATTTCCTTGAACTTTGAAGAACAGATCAATGCTTTTCAGCATTGCAAGCTGCAACGCGTCATGTCTAGTTGTTGGACTTTATAAAAATTTACTAATAGGAGCAATTTTAACTGCTGAACAAAATGGACATATGATATTGTGATATTTTTTTTTCATATGGTTGGGAAACAACAAATTGTACGTGATCAAGGAGGACGAGCCTGCTGATGTGACTGAGAACCGTGTACAGTACAGAGGGACTCGATGCTACCTGCACACTTCTGTGTCCGACCAAGCATAAATCTCAATACGCTACTCTCCATATGTTCTGTTCGTTTGCCTGTGAAGGCGTTTATTCTATGTAATCGTCTAGCTTAGATTGAACTAGACAACAGTCTGTACTATTTTTGTATTTGATTCAACAATTTTAAACTGCTGAAAGATCAAATGGGCACTTGGGAGGTAAAGGGAAAAGATGTGTTTTCTGCCAAAGAAATGTATCAGTCGATGTGGCACAAGCCGGATTTGCGTCCCGTAAATCATTCTGATTCAGAGCGGCGGATTCACAGATTTTTCTTGGGGAATTTGCCCTTACGATGGTTTTTAGTCGCAGTATAATGTTAAGCGAGAGTGTATGTAATTCTGTTCCTCAAATGTGTCACAAATTTAGTGAGAAAAATAAAACGATTCTGTTTGGCGGTTCTCTCTTGCAGTTTTTGTTGTTGTTTTAATGTATAACTTTAATTACAACACATTAAAAGCAGATTCAACATAATAAATGCTAGATGACAGCATAACTGTAACATGTCATATTGATGATTTAGCAGGATAAATAAGATACATACACAGGTAACCCTCACTTTTATACAACTGGCTGTTTTATTAGTCTGTCTACACATGTGATTTGTTTAATATGACACATACAAGTACAAAAAACAAAGAAAATGGAAGAAAATACAACTGGTGGAAAAATATATAATTCCAAAATGGATCATACAATTTCTCTGTTTTTCTATTCTCACTCTGTTCACACACAATATTTACATCATATACATACAGTAAAGAACACACATAATCACTATACAGTGTTCATAACTCAAATAGCTTCGTCACGCCAAAGAGGATGCTTACAGAAGTGGGGATAAAATCTTGTACAACCAGGCCAGGAACAGACTAACAAAGGAGATCAGAGTGGCTAAAAAAAACTACTCAGAAAAGCTGAGAAAAGAGCTTTCAGCAAATGATCCAGCGTCAGTATGGACTGGTCTGAGGAACATCACCATGTACAAGACACCACCCCCACAGAATCAACAACTGGCTGACGATCTGAATGTGTTTTACTGCAGATTTGAAAAGGATAGTCTACCACCCCCACATTTATCTAAACAATTACTTTTGTTCCTATACTTCTATTTCTGTATATAGTACATTATTCAATTTTTCTTTTTTTTTTATTATATTAGTGTTATATTACATCCCTACTGTGTTATTCCTATGCATGTCTGCACTATCATGTATGTCTGCACTATGTTTGTACTTTCTTCTACACTGGAAGCTCCTGTCGTCAAGTCAAATTCCTTGTGTGTGTAAACATACTTGGTAATAAAGCTCTTCTGATTCTGATTCTGATTCTGATAAACAGTGAGTATTGCTACATATTTTCATTTGGAAGTTACTCTGGAAAACTTTTTCTTTCTCAGTTTTCTGGTGCTGTTTGGTTCATACAACCCACTAATTAACTAATTGATGTGGATTGGGCTAATGAGTGAACACAGGTGATACGTGTTACTGAAAGGCTTTAAACCCCTCAGTTTGTGGCACGCATATAGAAGAATTAATGAGAGAATAAGTGAGAGTGAAGTTGTTTGTGTGGCAATGTTGAAGGAATGCGTGTGGTTGTTAAGAAAGTATGAATACCGAGTGGATTTGTGTTGAAAAAAAAAGATTAGGGAGGAGGCCGTGTTTGAAGAACCATCTTTGTAATAGACAGTTTAATTGAGATACAAAAGAGAGGAGAATAGCTTTAAGACATCCTCTTGACCCTTTTTATGAGATCTTGAAGTTTTGGTATCTGCAAAAATGATATCAATAAGTGATCTTGCTTGCTACATTGGAAATGTGGCTAAAAGAATATGCTCACTATTGCCGTTTAGGAAAGGCTGCCAATCTTGGCTGTTTGCTACTAAAAGTGCAGATTACAATGTGTTAAAAAAATTGAAATTTCACTGTTCTTTAACGAATCACCTCTTCGTAAGTTAAATATGTTCATGACGCTTGATGTGTGTTTTTCTTGTTCTGTGGAATACAAAAGTAAAACATTTAGCAGACTTTGCAAACCATTCTTTTACCTTAAAATAAATACTCCAAAAGGAGAAAAAAGTAGAGCTGTTGTATAGGTCTTCTGAAGCCATATGGTTTACGTCGCATTTAAGTCATTACTAACCAAAAAAAATGGCACCTTTTGCGTTTGACACGAACAAGCACCAGAATCATGATAGTGATATGAAATTACAATCTCTACAGTAAGATCTACAATCTTAATACTTAATATATCATATAAAATGTGTTTATATCAAGTGAAGAGGTGCATTTCTGTTCAAATATAAATTCAAAAGTTGTTTCTCTCTTTTTTGGAGGCTGAACCTTGATTCAAAGTGCAGCAGACCCTAAACAAATGTATGGTAGCAAGAGGGCAGCAGATTTCTACAGAACCTTACATATATGTCTTGAATGAGACAAAAACACATCAAAGAAAAGAATCATGCTTATATTTGGTCATTTGAGTAGTTTTCCTCAATGGACCAAACAGACGTTCTTGAGGTCTTCCAAAAGTAAAAAGTTCTTACTAAATGTTTTTACATTTGTATATTTTTATATATACAAAAAACAAATCAAGCTTAAAATGGATCATCAATTAGTAGCAATGGCGATACTTGAATGATCAGAAGCTCAGAGCATCGCCTTCTGTTGCTTTGACTGAGGATTGTGGGTAATTTGCTGTAAGAAAGTTCTGTACAGTATAGCTCTAGTCCATGTGACATGCAAAAATGTGTTTGAAACATTGATGTCCTAATAAGGGAGTCGAGATCCTAGGTCTTCGGTTATAATGAGTTTGGGTTTCTGCTTGCTGTTGGAATTGCTTTGTCTTTGGCGAGATGTGAGCGCAAATGTGGTGAATTGGAGAGGATCCGTCACTCTAAAAAATAAAAATACAAACCATAACATTATATAACGGACTGACGTGCTGTTCTTTTTATGCATGCTTAAAAGTTGTTACCAAAAATCTTGGACAATATAACATGCAGCATGAATTTTAAAAAGGAGGTTTGAAGCCTAACATTTGAGGGAATAAAAATGGAAGGAAATTAAAATTTGAGATTATTCATGCTTTAAAATCAGTCGTGCTGATTGTAATTCAACTTCAGTCTCTTCCCTGCGTCATTTACACACACATGGCTGCTCAAAAGATTCATTTCAGAGTCACTATATTGACAGTCATGTCAGGAAATGATCACATCATATTCTGCATTCAAATATGAAATTGTGCATGTAAATTGAATTCTTTAGAAAGCTGGAGCTTTGTCACAGACTGAGGAGGAAAGAACCTGAAACTGAAGTAAAATCAGGCCTAGTTATAAGTCTGACGTGCTATACATAATATACAGAGACCCAAAAAGCATTTTGAACACTAATGACTGAATAATTGTACAACCATGAAGTATCACAATACATTTTATGCCATATTGTTATATATTTAAAACTAACAAACTACTCTTTGCTTAAAATATTACTACTAAAAAAATGATACGCATTTCCATTTGAAATTAAGATATTCAATTAAGTCAGAAGCATGCGATTTTCTTTCAGTTTTTTTCCGCTATACATTAAAATGATACATGATCATGGAGATAAAACCATAGTTTACTCACTCAAAAGCGTTCAAATTCAGGAACCACACTGAAAAAATGAGAACAGGCCTGGAATTTGGCTATTTGCCTTATTTAATGTAAGAAACTATACTGTAAATGGTTATATGAATTTAAAAAGAAAAGAAAATCAGTAGCCACTTTCACAGAAAATGGTACAAAACGGTACAAGATCATCAACTTCAGAAGGACAAACCAAAGGAGAGCAACTTTTTACAGTGAACTGAACATCAGTTCAGCAGATTGTCAAAATTATGACATCTGATAGTTTCAAAAATGCTTCAAATTATGGGATCAAATACATTTGTTAGATTTTTTTGTAATGTTAGTGTTGTTAAAAATGGCCAGTTATAAAATAGCACTGACTACACTGTAACAAGTCATAATAAATCTACCATTTTGCAAGTATTTGTAAATATTTATTATTGAATTTAGTTCATCATTAGGCAGTATTTATTCTTTAAAAAGTACTAAAAGAAATACGAAACCGGATTCATGAAATTGTTTTACAATTCCTCTCCCTAATTTTGTGCCCATGTACATTAAATATAATGCGGGAACAGTAGTATGTTAGTATGTTATTCTGAACATTTCATTGACGTATAATTCAAAACCTGACCATGTTTAATAAGAGTAAAATGAGTAGCACAGTGAAAGCTGCGTTCTAAATGAAGAATGTAATAGTATTACATTTCAGATTGATAGTGTCTGCAGTGATCAATCTGAGCATTATGACAAGCACAAAAACTGCACAGATATTACACAATTACAGATCAATTTAGAGACAAATGAATTCAATTGTCGACAATCTCATATTCTATTCATGGCAATAACCATAAAGTCACAAAATTCAAGCTAAGAAATGACTACACCGCTTTAATCTGAAGAAATGTTTATTCATCTTTTCAAGAGTAGAAAGTCACATGGTCATTTAGCAACATTACACTGTTCTGATGTCGCCCAAAGTACATGCATATTGGAGTGTATATACTTCGCTGTACAATTATTGTACTTTCTCTCCTTTCACATCCAAAAAGTGGGCATTCCGGAAGAGAACGACATAAATATCATGACAGAGGTGGAGCTCTCTCTGAGTGTCGCGGCTGTGCCATGGTCTTTACTCTAGTGCAGAAAGAAACACTGGCACTGGCTTCCAGTCCTTGACACCTTACTGCGTTTGTCTCTAAATTCATCAAAACAGAGATGGAGCGTGTTGGCAGAGCTACAGCAAGACGTTGGTTTAGTTACACACAGAAAAAGACAAACAGTGCAAAAGCAAAAAAAAACTATAGCCGGAGGAGAGACAGACAGACACAAAGAACCTGGCAGGATCTTTGGTGCGGGAAAGCATGAGAAAAGTGAAAGCAAGTGTACAATCTGGACGTCTCCACGCATACTTTGTGGTAATAATGAAGGTGCTTTTTATTTAATTGTGCATCACCTTCATGTACAACAATAAATCGACTTTTCAAGCACAATACAGAGAAAATATAGAGCAGTGCACCTTTAAACAATTACTAGACCAGACAAGCAATGTGGTGTTTCTATCACATCAGAGAAACATTGTCTCTTTTATAGCTTAATCATAAGCATTTTGTTTCTATGAAAAAGGCTATTTCAAAGCATTTAATCAGTTCCCTGATTACATTACAACACTGGAACTAAAAGACTTCAGCTTTCACTCCTGTGAAAAAGGCTAAAAAACTCACACAAGTGGTGTGTAAGTGAATTATAAGCATAAATGATCATATTTAAATTGATACTAAACCAAAAAGTATGGTATCAAATTTGATTATTGCTGTTTTTACATATGTTTCGAATCTAAAAGCTGTACAGGGATCCGCAGGGATCTTGTTGAACCAAATTAAACAATGCATCCATGTCAAAGAAAAAAAATCAGAAATACTCCTGTTTGCAATTTAACATTCGATTATCAGTTATAGTATTTACAAATATTGTGTGCTATGTACAAGGCACTGGATCACATGGATTATATTAATATTAAGACTCGGCACATCATTAATATGGATGAATCGCAACACAAACATCAGTGGATAGTTCCGATTCTAAAATCTGATTGGATGAGCTAAACATTCTACATTAATAAATTTGAGATGTCTCTTGGCAACCGTAACTGGCCTAGACCAAAACTATATTGTTCATTCCTTTCTGTTTTTATTCATACAAGCAATGAACCGCTCGTTACCATGTGTTACAGTGATTTACTGTACCATGGTTAAGAGGGATACACCTCTCATGTGTGGTGAAATCACTAACACACAGCTTCTCACTGCTTGTTGCTTCACTCGTGGATGGTGATGAGACATGGATATGTAGGTACCAGTTGTCTTTTCTTTCATGCATGGACCATGAATTCCAGAAACAACCCATTTTTGTCATTTATATTTAAAGAATTTGTTCCAATTCAACTTCCAGGCTTTCAAACGCAATCTTCACTTGAGACCCAGGGAAGGTCAAGTGTGTACTGCACATCAGAATTCACCGTCCTGATCTACAACGCTTGATGCATTTAGAAAACAGATACTTCATTGAAGGGACTCCAGGTGAGATATTATGAGATCACAGAGACCCTTTACATCAGCGATATAAACAATGAAATGGAAAAACACTGAAAGTTGTGATTAATTAATTACATCAGTTTCATTCAATTGTACAATGTAAAAGGAATAATTAAAAAAAACACCTGAATATATATACTGTATATATTTTTAAATATGCAAACTTACCAATGTACAGAATACGGTCTTTCTCAGCTGAGTTTCATTATTAACAGTCATTTATACTTGGATAAACCCACAGGTATTGTTACAAACAATAAATGTAATCATATTACCACATTGGTTTTCATTTAAGATTTTTTGTTCAACAAAAAAAAAATGTATTTACTCGCCTTCGTGTTGTTCCAAACCTATACAACTTTTCTATTTTCCACAGAAACAAAACAAAACAAAACAAGAAATTTAGATTTCTGAGCTGTTCTCTTCCCTCAAGTGAAAGTGAATGGGGTCCAGTTGCTGTCAAACTCCAAAATGACCCAAAAACAAAACAAAACAAAAAGCATTTTGTTCAGAGAAAATCTGGTCACCATTCACTTTCATTGCAAGGAAAGAAAATACTTCTTCGATCTCATAAATAAGTCTTTTTGTGTTCCATAGAAGAAAATAATATAATAAAATCATGTAAACAACAGAATTTTCATTTTCATGTAAACTATTCCTTTAAATCCGTGGACCCCTGGATGGCAAAAGTTATGCATTTATACATTGTTGACATGTACATGCATGAAAGACAGGCAAGAGATAGACAATTCAACATGTTTTCTAAAGTAAGTTCAACATTCTCATGTTAGGAGCGTATAATGAGGAAGGTCAGCATGGAATACTCAGCATTCCGGTTCCGTTAGGCTGCTTCCGACTGGGATAAAATAAGGGAACTAGAAGGTGGGAAGGGTGGATCTAGATCCTCTTCCTCTGAGGGTGGAGTGAAGGGGGATGGATTGTTGAGAGATAAAGGAAGACAGGGGAGTGTGTGTGGATGGAGGTGAAGGTGGTGTCTCTGTGTTTGTCTGTCCTCTCACACTGTCGAAATCAATTTGCCCTCCGCACTGTGGAACAAAGAGAGGGAGATGCTGCCAGGTTGGCTTTGGACACAGACACATTGAAGCACAAAGAGCATAAAGCACTGATGTTCAAGGAATAGTTCACCCATAAATGAAAATGGTCATCATCTACTTATACGTTCCAAACCTGTGTGACTTTCTTTATGTGGAACACCAATGTACTGGTGCTCTCTTTTTTTCCCAGGTTCATTGAACGAGGACTGCAGCTTATCGGGCAAATTAGTCCATACGACTTGTGCACTATACTGCAAGTGTTCTGGATCCAATTACGTCAAGTTTGGGTGAGAAACAGATGGAAATTTATACTGTGCACTGATAACCTTTCCCTTCAGAGTTGAACTCAAGAACCAGATCAGTCAGATTCATTGAATAGGGTTCAAGAGATTTATGAATATAGGAATTTTTTATTAATTTTTTTACCTTTTTTGTGGTCCCAGGAAGGGTAAGAGTAAAAGATAACTTTTTTTTTTTCATTTTTGAGTGAACTATCCCTTTAATATTACTGCTAATACTAATCTCTATTAATGGACGTTACAAACAAGTGATGGGCTGCATTTCCTACAAGTCACGTGTGTGTGTGGTTCAGAAGTAAAATGTAAACAATTCAAATGTGTTCTAATCAGAAATCAGAAAAAGCTTTAAAACCAAACCACACACATGTATTGTGAAAATGGAGCCCATTGTTCTAAATGCATCATGGGGGTCAAATCTAAATGGTGTACAGCAAGGTATAAAGTGAACTACAAGTATTGAAAATATTGGGGGTAGCATGTGGAACACTGCTTCTCATGAATTTCCCTACAGGAATTAAAATGGGAAAAAAAGACACTAAAAGACTAATTAAAGGGGTGGTTCACTGGGTTTTTTCTAGGCTTGATTGTATTTATGGGGTGCAGTCTAACATGTGTTAATGCTTAGTTAAAAAAAAAAAACGCATTATTTTTCACATAATTTACCTTTACTCCACACAGCTCTGTCCCTTCTCTGAGAAATGGGCTGATCTTTTCCTGTTTTTATGAAGCCCCTCCCTCAGAAATACATGATGGGCTCTGATTGGTTAGCTAGCCCAGTGTGTTGTGATTGGCTAAACCGCCTCTAGTGCGCGTCTAAGTGTCCCGCCCCTCACCTCAGCGGCATGTGCTCTGGTTGTATTGTAAACAAAGGCGTTGTTAATATCGCTTATCAGTTTGAGCCTGATTGAGAAGCAGAGGATATTATTGAAGAGGATCGTGCAGAACCTGTGCAAGCAGGGCTTTTAATGTTAGGCCTATGTTTTTTGTTTGTTGTTGTCTCATGCTTTTAGATATGCTGTTATTTGTAAATGCTACTGCTTATGTTAGATTTTAATATAGGGTTTTATCTTGATTAAAGCTTTAATACAGTACGGCAACTGAAAGCGCGTCCATGTTTAATGCTTCTCTTAGCTATGTGAAAATAAGTGTATAATTGGAAGTTACAGTTCTTTGTTGTGGAGCTGAGCTGAATGAGAGAGAGAGAGAGATGCAGAGCAGGGGAACGTGAGGAACAGTTTTGAAAACCACTGCTTTTGAACATTGATTTTGAAACCTGTGAATCCATTAGAATCGTTAGAAGACAGAATCGCGATTCATATATGAACAGATTTTTACGTGCACCTCTAGTTTTCTCTTCCTCTTCTCTAAAGCAGCGCAGCATGGCATCGCCCCCTTTGCTGCCTTTTCCCGAGGGCGGGGTTTATCTGGGTTTGTGATGTCACGAACCCGGGAAGTAACTTGTTGTAGTCCCTACCAGCCGTTTTTGTAGGCATTAAACTGCCAGAATTTTAAAAGACGATATCTCCGTTTGCATTTAACTTTCAGCTTCGTAACTTTGCAGATATTGTTTATGCTCAAACAGCAACATTACACACTAACTAACGTTAAAAAAGTGAAATCGCAATGAACCACCCCTTTAAGACAAACACACATGGACAGCAAAAGCAAGAATGGAATGGTAACTTAAATGGAAAAATAAAACATTTTAAAATATTTAATCTATATCTACTTTAAATTGTGATGCTAAAGGAATTTGGAATAAAAGCTGGGAATGGTCTTCCCCATAGATGACCCAGAAGGGTTTATTTATTTATTTATTATAGTGATGTCACACAAGGTGCTTTGTACAATACAAAAAAAAAAGTTCATTCAAATTGATAAAGTATGGCTACACCATGTTCAAGAGAGTAGGTATGGCTCTCATCTATGGGAAAAGACCAAAAACGAGTAACTACAGTATATTATTGCGAGGTTTATGAAACCCATTTAAACAATCAGAGGTTTCTGCCTTGTTCAATATGGGTTTAGGTGCCGTTTGGTCACCCGCCCACCTTATGTTTGGGCTAGACCTTCAGAAACGTCAGCTATGTTCGTCTGTTCCGGCTGCAGGTCAAGCAAACAAGACTTTTTTTGCTTGCCATAATCAAAATTCAAAATATGTGGGATTTTTAAATTCAAACAAAACCAGAGAAGAATAAGTCAAATAAAAAGAAAACAAAGAAAGAACTTACAGACAAACTAATATGCTTTTTTAAATACTGTTTCTGTTCAGTTGGCAGTAAAAAGTAAAAATTTAGGTCTTACCTCGTTTGGAATCGAGACTCGTACTCCTCCAACCCTTGCTGTGAAGAAAAAGAGAACATCTTTTAGTCATCTACTTTTCCTCAAATGCCCAGTAGACGGCAGTAGAAGAATGCATAACACTTATGAACTGCAGTATTGATGATAGTTAAAGCATTTTGCTGTAACCAGGAATAAAAAAGGAGGTCATTGAGTGCATCCTGAACCGGAACCAATTGAGCACTGACTCAGAACAGAGAAACACAACAGACATACACAACATGTCCTTTTTTTCCCCAATCAAAACTTAATTAATATTGAATGCACTAAGGAGGGGACCCGGGGGTAAGGATGAGAGAGTTGAGATGAGATGTTTGTTGCTGGCTTTGTTACATAACAAAGCCCTACTTCTTTTAATACTAAAAAAGTATTTGCATGCTTATTCATGCATATTTAAGTAATTGCAAGCCATTGCAAGTATAATTATTTCAGTGAAGTGTAGTACACAAACATGTTTTTCATTCAAACCATTCTCAAAAATAAATGATGGTTTTAAATGCCAAAGACAAACACTAGATTTTGTTTGTTTGTAACTCCATGCCAGCTTCTATAGCTATTTTCCTGGTGAAATCCAGGTTGAAATATTGAAACAAATACATTTGAAAAATAGCTTAAATGTTCTAAGGCTGCTGTATGTATCTGTACCTGTATAAAAATGCATTTAATTTAAAGTGAAGACCTCCACAGACAAATACCCGCTCTCTCACTGCAGTCGTTTCTCTTTGTTCCCACTCCAAACCCATCTATTTGTAAATGTCCAAAATGGCCTCTCAAAGGGAAGTTTAATCAAACAGGGCAGGTCTTTTCTAATGTGGGCTCAGGCTGTTAAAATAACACATGGTCACAGGTGGAAACTGATCTCGGTTTAGGGTAATGTCCTGGAACGTCCTCTATGCAGTTAGCTGGAGATTGGGCTGCATTAATCGAACTGTCGCCCTGCTATATTTCAGCATGTCTGATAAATGTCTACATAAGGTGATTAATGCTTCAGTACTATTAACATTTTTATAGAAAGCTATACTGATAACTCCATACATCTATCAAGGTTAATCATTTTGTATTGGATGTAGAATGACACTGCATTAAGAATAGGCAGGATGTGTGTGTGTGCATAGCCTACTTGTGAGAATCCTGGCACTGCCACGCTGTATGGTCTCTGTCGGCTGTGTGGTGTGCTCTGCTGCTGGCTGAGGAAGCGTGTGGGCATGCCGTAATCAGGTGTCGGCAACGCCATCTCTCTCTCCAGAAGATTTCCTGTGCTGCTGCTCCTGCTATGCTGCAAACTACAAACACACACATATACACACTATTAGTTAACGTGATTTCATTTCTGTAACGTGAAAAATTTAGGACTTTATTTTATCCATTGGGAATGACTGGATCAAGAAAGTGGGCGTTGTGTACTAGAATAGAGCCAAACGTAATGCACAATTGCTCAAATTTGACCTAAATAGCTAATTATAGCATTATGACAATATTAACATCATCCAAGTGACATTAGTAAAAAAGGAAAATCGTATCAGAGGAAGAGCAAGGCATTTTATTTTGAATTAAAGGTTACGAAGGCTGTTCTCTTTGGAATAATATGCACTGATGAATCAATCACAACAAGACTATGCATGTGCATGAATAAAGTAAACAAGGTCAGGTTTGATTGGTCATGTCAACAGTAAAGCCTTTCTCAGTTGCATGCTTAATGGTGTTATGCAGCTCATGACGTAGTTCTCTAAATGCATTTCATAGGTTGTGCCAGCACAATATTAAATGGCATTTAAACATTGAACGGGCTTTTGTAAACGCATTAATATTCAAACAGACTCACCTGACGTGGAGTTTATTGCTGTCTGGTTCAGGAATCACGCGGGTATAGGAGAACGGGAACCAGCCTCTCCTGATAGGACACATACAACGTGGAATTTGAAGCAGTTTCTCTGGTTCATCAAATTCTTAAATTAAAAATGTGCTTGTTTTTCTGTATGCATGGACAAATTGTATTGTGAAGTTAACCACAAGACACGTACATTCTGTTTTTCTCGTTTTCGCCGTAGTGCCAGCCGTCCCGGGCTTCAGGCACCAACAGTGTAATGATGTCTCCTTCCATAAAGCTGAGGAGTGTGCTGTTGTCCCCGGCGGCATGAGAGAAGAGGGCCTGAACGCGTGTCCGTCCATTTCTCTCCAGCTCAGCTGCCATTGAGCTAGACCTGGGGAGGGTCTGTGTCTCTGCTGGGGTCAGAGATTAGAAAACCATAGTGAGCAATTTTTTATAACTATGCAAGAAGAAAAATGACAGAAAAATTACGTACATTTCATTCAAAACGTATCGTACAATCCAATAGATTAAAAATTAAATATTGGACCTTATATTTGTTGTATTTTTGCATTTAGAATGTTTGTTTTAACATAATAACGTCAAACTATTGGAATCCATTTAGGACTACTTGAGTTGCCTTATAAAATTCTACCTAAAGGTCGTGAACGCCGCTCATTAAGAACTTCGTTTCCGCTCCTTCTTAAAAATACTTCCCTCGAAGAGAAACTATACCCTTCACCTATTTTCTATCCATTTTTAAAGCTGTCCTCTCTATTCCCACCTGCTCTGCCCTGTTTTCATTTCCAGCAGTGTTTGCCCTGTTATTGTCCACTCACTAGAGGAACACTCACTTCTTTCACAAGGAGAGAGTGAGAGAGAAACGCACAGGTGCACAGACACTGACACAGCTATAAATACAGACGGCGGATTATTAAGTCATATAGAGATTCTGGGTATTGAATAAACAGCACTGAAATCTTCCAGATGTCATGATCAGAGAGTTACTGTTTGCATTGTCGAAGGTAAGTCCCTTAACTTACCCAAAGTATTCTTGGGCTTTACAGGCGCAACTTTGCGGACAGGCAGGGTGTTGGAGAAGGTCTCTCCACCGTGTCTGTGGGCCGGTTTCTCGTGTGCGGCTCTGGTCTCCATCCAGCGTTGGTAGTCTTCTCCCCCATGGACCCCTGAGCCATTCACCATGGGAACACCATCTACTCCCATCATCCTCTGCAAGATGCAATTCACATTTTTAGGAACAAATAAGACACCTAGTTTCCATTTATACTTGTATAGTATACATGCATTTCTCTGCATTTTGAGACAAGTAAAATAAAAAATACCATCAAGCATTAGTCGCACTACTCCCAAATGAGATTTAAATGAATGTCCTTCCTTATAAGATGCAGCTTTTTTTTTAACGCATGTCTTGTACACAGTTTTAACCATTTGTGACTTGATATAGTACAATCTCTCCCATGTAAATCAGAGATTTGGTCCTATGCAGTTGCAAACACAATGACAGAGAAAACTTGCAGTTATGCCATCTGCCACTTTAAATGCTCAAGCTCTTTAAAACAGGATGGATTCTCATTGGCTGTCAATATTTTGATCATTTATTATTAGCTGGAAAAAAATATTTTGAAAGCGATTCCATTGATATCGTTCCTCTGTGCTGTTATAATTAGGTTGTGGTGTGGACTAATATTCTTTGAAATGCATAATAATTGTTACTGCACTGTGATAAACTGTAAACTAAAGAGAGCTGTAAGTGCCAGCAGGTTTCTGATTATTCTTTTCACAGCATTGTGGTCATTATGGAACTGTATTTTAATGACTTTATATCCATCTATACTAAATTTGAGAACTCTCTCATTCCTATGGCCGTGAGTGCGCCCCCTACTCTACAAAGTTGAGTACATAAGATGTAATTATACTCATCATTAATGCAACCATTTACAAATTATCTTGCTGAAGTTAAGACACTGTATTATTTTGTGGCTCACATTTTTTTTTATTTGGGTCGGACTGGGATTCTAACTCACCGTCTGTTGGTTCCCCATGAGAGCTGCGAGCTCAGGTGGCACAGGAAGTGGCTTGGCCCCAGGGATGGGGTCTGAGATGGTCAGGCTAGATTTAGAGGTGTGGTGGACACTGGGTCCCAGTGTCCCTGACGCTCCTGAGCCCATTTGCTGAGCTAGAAGCATTGCCCGCTCTGGGAGTTTATTTGGATCGGCACACGCTTGTTGCCACAATGGGATCTTTTGCGTCAGCAAGTCTCTGCCCTAAAAACAAACAAACAGCGCCACAACTAGTATTAGCACCTAGCATAAGTGATGCAAGCTTTACACAACTGCGAGAGAATAATTTAGATTAGTCTAGAAAACCCATGTTGGCAAATCAAGGATAACAGACCAAATACAGACTCTCTCTGTGAATATATAGCTGAGGTTTCAGGGGTGAGCTCTTCAGTTGATGGACTGATAGGGAGAGGGAATGCGATAAAGTGTGATAAAGTGATCCCTCCTCACCTCGCGTTCCTCTGAAGCTCTGAGACATCCCTCTCTATCCTGACAACCTCCCCTCCCTGTAGGTTGAAGCCTGAAATTGCCTCATTACACTGCCCTATGCACAGGCAGTGAGCCTGGCTGAGCTCTACGACCAGTAAGAGAGATGAGGAACGCCTGGAGACCTCTGAATGTAGAGCACAGGAAGTGCAACTTTATCTTTGAACTCTTTTCTGTAATTCAGATCATCTGTTTGAGCAGTACATGGATGCTTATTTAAAAGACCGAAGAGCCAAATTTCAAATAGATGTGACAAATGAAAAGTTAATCAACAATTTGACGTGTTGCAACAGTTCACCTAAAACTTACACTAAAGGTTACGCTAAAAATCTACCTAAATCCACCACATTTTGGTTAAGTGCAAAGTTTCTTTAACATAAGTGTGGTAAATGTACTACACATTGCATTGGATGAAAGGTCTTCTAAATGCCTACACCCTTGTAACATGCCAAAATCTTTTTTTCATCACTCTCCTTTGCTCTGTACTTATAATACCTCCATAGTCTGTTTTTGACTGGCACAGGTCAGTACTACTGAGCCCCTACGGTCCTTTTCTAAGTCACAACCACATACCACCCTACACAAAGCAATTATCACCTGCCTGCATGTCTGAGCACCTGCAGACTGTGTCACGACCTCATCGGGTTCATAAAAGCAGAAACGCTAACACTCTTCATTTGCAAACTGGCAAATCTTAGTCACCATGAAATTAAAATGGACAATTCTTATTTTTATGAATATTGCAGTGTTTATTATAAATTAAATATCCGTGTACATATTTTTTAAATATAAAATTAACTGCCCTTGTGATAAAAACAAAAAATTCTCCTCCCCTTCGCTAAGGCATGTCTTCTCTGATGATGTGTGCACCGACGCAAAAGGTGGGACAATAATCTCTCCCCTCTAGCAACCCGTCACTCACATGAGATCGCATGATTTTGCAAACAACAACAATCCAATCGATTCCTAATGGACAAAATCAAGTCCAACCCTACATTTTTTTTTAAGAAGCCATTTCACTCTGATATATACGTCACAATAGAAAAATAAAAGATGAGCGCAGTTTGCGTTTCATCCGGACTTTATGCTGATCCAAAAGTTTCAAGAGTAGCAGGACAGATCATGTGTATAGTCATAAGATTCAGTAGCCACAGCTTATTAAACTACTGAAGCCAACCTGAAGCATTTGCGATTTTAACATTGTTTTGAAAGGACAGTTTAGCTAAAAATGAAAGTTCTGTCATTATTTACTCGGTCACATTTTGTTCCAAACCTGTATGACTTACTATCCTTGATTAAACACTAATGTATACTAATATTAAAGACCCTAAATATCTTGTTTCTAGCTCAAACCCCTCAAACAGTAATGCACTTGATCTCAAGTTGATCCATGAGGAATGACCCTGCAATAAGTGCACAGTGAATTACTTTGGATAAAAGCATATGCTAAATCTTGCTAATAGGCAGTTAGCAGTGGTCTCTGAATTGCATTTGTGTGAAAGGGCATCACACAAATGCAATTCAGAGACCACTACTAACTGCCTATTAGTTCCCGAGAAATCTGTGAACCATTCAAACTTGCAAATTTCATTAGGTGTTTAAAAGGTTTCTTTTCAATTTTCTTCCCAGTGGTAAAATCTCTTAGTCATCTGAGCATGAGAGAGTTTTTATCCTCTCTTTGTTCCTTCTGCCATCAGTTGCAGACGAGTGAGTGAGTAAGTATCAAGTACCATGACTGTTGTGGGTGACGGTGTTAAGATCCAGCCATGACAAACTCTGGCAGATGGTCAGTTTTGTTCACGTCACTTCACTCTTCCTGTTCTCACAAAAGTGGATAATAAAGTAGCACTACATAGACTAAACCCCAATTTAATTTTCCACTGTGAGGTAGTGCCTCTTTGTCTTTGTCTAAAATATTTTTGCAGTTGCCTGCAGAGAAATTTCTTCAGTATGAGTCTTCCTACACACATACATGAAAACAGTGATTATCATCTGAACAGTCTGTTCTTGTAAAAGTGGGCCATTCTCTGCCTGGCCCTCCCTTTTTCTTCTGCTTCTCTTGCCATCATTGCTCCCAACGCTCTGTCTATCACCAACTCTGAAGCGTGGGCGTCACAGTAGAGGAGTGAATCTCGCTTACGCGGGAATGACTGGTCTTCTTCTGCATGCTGGTGAATCCACCAGATACCACCAGATCTCTGCTCTATTTTTGTTCAGTGTGAATGTAATGTTCTAAAAAGAATAATCATCCTTCACCCTTGTGTTTTATATATTGGTGGCACCACCTTGATTAAATCTCTTTGATTCAATTGATAAGCAATCAAATGTAGTCTTGGTTATAAATCATTTTGCATTGTATACTGTACAAAACACAATTGTACAGCACAAGCATTTACATACAGTGCATTTTAGACCCAAATTAAGAAACTTTCTCAAAATACACAGTATAGCACATTCTCTAGCAAGCATGGCGGAATGATCAGCACTGAAATGGAATGAATGACTGACTAAATGGGACTTGGGAGCAGAAACAACTGAAAACAAAGTATGGAGTTGTCCAAGTATATAATTTATGGATACTTATTATTTATAGTATATGATCTGAATTAATACATTACATGATTGATGGTTAAAGACAACATGTAATCAAAACTTATATCTTTGACATAAGGCTTTATCAATTTAACTGACCAAGTCATCCAACCAAATTTGTATTAATTATTAAATATGTCATAATGTGAAAGCTAAATATGTTGTAAATGGCATTTCATGTTGTCTTTAACACATTTAAATGTGCAAATAATGGCTAAAATGCATGCTTAACACAATTTTTACTTAAATTAACTGAATTTCAGTGTTTCTGCGACCCAAAATTTCTTCAGCATGATGTGAAATCTCACCTTGGTGTGGTAGGCGTTGCTTGTTTTGGCCAATGCACATTGACGGTCAACGAGGAAGCAATACCTCCGTCTCTCTTCGGACAGAGCGTTCTTGTAGCTCTCAGAGATGTAGTTATCCAGCTCATTTTGTTTGCTGCTGATGGTCTCGACGTACTGAGGGACAGGGAAGGTGGCGTAAAGCAGACATAAAAAAACGACAAACAATGCCCCAGTTTGACGCAGCCTGATGTAGTGACGACCATGCTAGGAGAAACCGTACATTTCAAATGACAACCATGTAGGCTTGCTGTTACTCTCATTGTATGAAAGCAAATGGGAATGCTAAAGCTCAATGATCCATAGCATGCAAAGCTGGTGAGGGCTGAATTTAACCGGCCTGTTTGTTTTGATCAGAGAATCCAAGTAACAAAGAAGGTCATGTTCATCATTTAGCATTCAATAGTAAAATGATAAAAAATCCAACTCAAGTATGTATCACAACATAAAAGCTACCAAGGCTGCTGCCTCTGTAAAGATTGCGCCACAGCCAAAACATCATCTAACAAGGACATACACCTTGTAGGAACTGGATGTAATCCAAACTGCACGCACACAGTGACACTCCGTAAGGTTATTCAACCTGTGTAGGTATCGTGGTATCACAGTGAGTTATGCTGATTCTTCCTACCAAGTGTTAATGAACAAGGCTGGAATCACTGCTTGCAAGTCTATTATTAGTCTCAAGTTAGAAAAGGTCATTGCATCATGCAAAAATGTGTTATGGGTTCACAGTAATGTATGAACGTGTACAATATGTTCACTCAGACTCTCAGTCTTTGCGTTTCATGGGTTTTGTGCCTTGCACAACTGAAATGAATAAAGCAATGCTTCATCCAGAGTTTAAAACTCATTTGGTACACATCTGGTCTTAGACACCAGTACCAGAACACATAGTTTTGTAGGTTTAGTTGCTCTAATGTACATCAGATAGACTTGTTTGTAATACTTTTGCATTAAACTCATGTGGGAAAGAATGTGAGAGATGAAAGAGGGGAAAAAACAACAAAATGAAGAGATTCTAAAAACGCCTCAGCATTGAAACAGATGTTGTAGTGTCAAATATAAAAGCAGGTAATGAGTTCTCAAGCTAGTTTAGATGTAATAAGCCTGTAGGTAAAACACTAGATGTAAAATGTAGCATTTCCAGGATTCTCTCTGATCATGAGTGGGAATTTGGACACACTGCTGACAGGTAGCATGATCAGCACACCAAAACAGCTGCACGCTAAATATTTTTGCACATGGCATCAACCCAAAGAGTGAGCCACATCATTTTATCAAGCTTGAAAAACTTCTGCTTGTGACTTGTAACTAAAGTGAACTGAGATTTGCTTAGCAAAAATTCTAGGTGACAAGAAAGAAAACACTGAGGTCAAAGCATGGTGGTTACACTTCTCCTCTGTTATTTCCAGGATCTTACAAAATTAGAAACTACATACTTGGCAAAAAAGCCATTATGAAGGCATTTCTCTTCCTTTTGGAGTTCAGTTCTCAAGTGTAAACACCCTTAAAAAGCAACTTAAAATGACTTTTTAGAGACAAACTAGCATATACTGTACATTAAAAGTTGCAGTCAGTAAGATTTTTTATTTATTTTTATTATTATAACATAACTTTTGAATGTTATATATAAGCTGTAATTGTAAGCAGAAGTAATTTAATATCTTTTTAAAATTAATATTTTTCAACTTGAACATCATCGTAGCCCACATCCGCATGTAGACTGCGTGTTTTGTGCGCTAATGGATCAGATATGACGTCTGTCTTATTCTTTCTGGATAATGACAGCACTATATTGCAGGATCTTCTTTGTATTTAATGACCCATGGTCAGGACCCCTTTTCTACTCCTATTAAATTTTTTTCAGTGTCCGAGTCATGAAGAGTACATTTACATGTACAGTTCATGTACAAGTCACATGCTAAGATTAAATGTTGAGGTCCAGCGAGTGCACTTACACAACTGCAGACGTAGAACCAGCGCAAGTCTGTTGCCAGGTACGAGTATAAAAATATGTTGTCGCACAGGCAATACTCAAATGTATAATGTATTTCTGCATCTTACAATTACCAAAATGACCCTACACTAGTTACACATTGTGCACATTCAGTAGCAAATTCTGGTAGTAATTTGCTTTATTTTACCTACTTGTTGGATGAAAACCAATGTTTTTTTCTGTCAGCTTTCATAGATATTTACTGTAATATGGCCTGAGGCAACAGAGGTTCAGCAATGATTTATTTAAATGACTAAGCTGCATAAACTATATTTGTACCATCAGATATTACAAATACAGGAGCATGGCAAAAAAAAACAACATCTATATTTACAATCTCCCAGTGATTCAGGTAATGGACAAGCAGCATGATTAGCATGACGTTAAGTACCACTGTGAAGTAGCAGACATGATCATACTCAACTAAGCAACAGTAAACACTGTCAGGCTAAAAACACTGCAACACACAGGTAAACACAGGTTTACACTAGAGTTGGTAAATAGTGTGTTTGTATGCTGCAGTGTGTTGCCATATGGCTCAGTTTGGTGGGGTAAGGCTAAATGGGTTCAGAAATCATATTTAGATAGAAATTTCTGCACTATGTGCCTTTAGTTTGGTATCCAAGGGGAATACTAATGTACATACACATACACACACAAAAATGATGTAATGTTATCCTATACTACTGCAGCCTGAAATCATAAGTGACACTCAATCTGCCTGCCCTCCGGTTGGCCTCATTTTAAACCGTGCTGAATATGAATGTAGGATACGACTGAAATGCGCCATAATTTCTGTGCATTGATTCCTCAGGGAAAAAAAGAGAGAAACGACTGCATTACATTGGTCACGGTATTAATATTGGCATCAGTTATGCAGGGGATCTGGAACAGACCTGCATTTCTCTCTAGTAATCAGGGAGGAAACTGAAACAACAGTGTTTCTTATATAAAACGAAACATGCAATGTTTTAACAATTGTGAAAATGTTTGCCTCCTCTAAAGCTCAATTTATCTTAATCAAAAATATGGGAAATTACCATGTACAATTAAATATCTAATACTGGCCAATATATATTCAATATCTCTATAACATTATCCATAAAATAGGTCAATAACCGATATGGTACCACTATTCACGCCTTTGAAAGATTGTCCTCGGCTTGGTGTAGTGAGTTTTGCAGTGTTCTGCTCATGCCATCTCTAAAACCAGACTCTCTGCAGCATGACGCACAGCAGGGACCATGAGCCCCACATGTAAAATTCATCCACGGTTCATACTGAGCCGCTAAGTGGAATGAACACATACACACAGCTATAAATAATTGACAAAAGCTATTACAGAAAAAAATTACATTCATAGAAATCTGACATTTAAGAAATCTCATGAGAGAATTGCCACATGTAGGGAACCATGGGAAGGGTTTACACATACACAGTGTTTTCTCAGGGGTAAATCTAAGCTTTCACAACTAGTAAACTGCTCAAAAAAATAAATAAATAAGTAAATAAATAAAAAAATCCTGGGGATTGTCTGGGGTATATGAGCTGAGGCCAGAGACGTATTAACTGACAGTTCCAAATATCTTTTTTTTTTTTTTCCTGAAGCCCCGTGCCACCCAGAGCTGTGAGGCACAAGCTAAACTAACAATCAGAATGTGATTTCCATCTGTTTTCTAAATGCACTTCCCATATCAGAGCCGCACACTGCATCAAACTTTTGACCTTTGATCATAAGTCAAGAAAACAAGTGCATCTGAGCCTCTGTTTCTGCTTGGCACTGAATCTGTCGAGGTCTATGGAAGGCCAAGATTTAAGACATAAAACAGCGTATACAGAACAGGCAGTAGAATTCCAATGAAATTCAAAGAAATGCCTATAACTGCTGAAAATAAATATTGCCTTTTTAGCATACATATAATTTAATCTAGCGTTATACTATATTTTATATAATTAAAAACAATATCACTTAATTACCAGGTGAAAGAACACCAGAATATTTTTCCTAATTGTAATTTTCCAGACTGCTTTATTTGAACAACATGAAGCAGCTTCATTTCTTTGAATTACAGTTCAATAAATTCATTTTCCTGTCATTCCATTTTAAATTTCTCAACTCAAACTCAACTTCCTGTTAAGCACAATTTAATTCAAATTTACACTAATGGACTCAAAGGAAGCAAATTCTTAAATTATGGATTTTGGCCAACCTTGATACAGAATAACAAATCAATCATCTCTGTTGTTTGGTTCACTCTGATCCTCCTACAGTTTTTGTTAGACCCCGGAACAGTTAGTTTAAGTAATTCATTTAAACAACCCACTCACGTTCCTTCTCTGTTTTCTTTTATACACACCTGTGGAGTGCGTTTAACAAGCAAGCAGAGCCCACTGCGTTTTATGCAACAGCACGTTCCTACGCCACTATGAGGAGCACACCTACTGCTAATGGCATGAACTGACCCCAGGTCAGCACACAGCACAACACACCCACTTCCCCATGACCTCACTCCTGGTGACGACAGTAGTGAGTGGCGTACATTCAAAACAAACAGCGGCCCCGACAAATCAGCCCCCGTACAATGAGGCCTCGATGAACAAAACACAAAGACACTACACAATGAAACCCACACAAAACAATATTAGTACAATATTGTATGAAAGGACTTCAGCCAAACAGAGTGGGATTTTCTTTAGCACCTAAAGAGCCAAACAGACTAAAACTGGAATAATTTTTTCTGTGTTCAGTGCAATGCAGGTGCATGAAAAGAGCAACATCATATCAGATTATAAAAATACACCTTTATCCAGAAATAAGATAATAAAAACATTAATAAACCCTGTAGATCCATAATGTGTGAAACATTCTTGTAAAGATTTTAATAGACTCTGAAAAAAGCTTGTGAATAACCATGTTGTCTGCAAATGTTTTTTAATTAGTCTTTTGACTGTCAAATAATTTTTTGTTATAAATCATACTGCAATTATAGCAAAGCAAAAATATGTTGTACATTTTGTGTGAATAGCCATCAGCACTGTAGCCAATGATAAAGTTTTAACATTCATGCTCATGTTTAATTTTCTCATTCTCTCTCTCAAGTGTGTTCAAAGGTGTATGTTCAAACAGTGAAGCGAGAAACAGGGATTTATAGAGATTATTTATAGAAACACGGATTTAGGAATTCCCACAATATTTCATCCCAGCATGAAGTCTCAGTTGGATGTTACGAACTGCACAAACATCACAAACAAATTCAATGCTCAAGTTCTGGAGCATCCCAATCTACTGCCAAACTCAGAATGCACAGACATAACATTTTCAAGACTTGAATTGATTTATACTTATCTTCTGTACACTGAGAGAACTCTTAAAGAAAGAGTTCATCCAAAAATAAATTCTCTCATCATTTACTTTAGAGAGATAAGATGTTTGGATCTTTGGGAAAAAGCAAACAATTACAGGTGCATCTCAATAAATTAGAATGTTGTGGAAAAGTTCATTTATTTCAGTAATTCAACTCAAATCGTGAAACTCGTGTATTAAATAAATTCAATGCACACAGACTGAAGTAGTTTAAGTCTTTGGTTCTTTTAATTGTGATGATTTTGGCTCACATTCAAACCATCCCCATTTGTGTTACACAAAAGGTGGTCGTAAGTGTTTGGAAAGATATGAGGGTTGAATAAATGGTGACAGAATTTTCATTTTTGGCATAACTTGTCCACCAAAAAGTTTTGTTTGTTGAAATTTGAAGAGCAGCACTGACTCACCTGCATCTCCTTGTCTCCATATTTGGAGGGGTTCTTGCTGCCTTGACTCTTCCTGCGCAGTTTCTTCAGCTCAGCCTGGCACTTCTCCAGACTCTCTCCTTTATTTTTGTGTTCCATCTGGTATTTCTTCAGAGCTGCCTGCCATATGAAATAACACCGCTCTCATCACAATCAACCCTAACAATATCCAAACGGACAAGACGAGCAACTTAATGTTTGTATTTCAAAAATTTTGATCAAGCATCTATTCCAGAAAGACCTCAAGTGGATAAATGCCAATGAGATTGGGCTCTCTCGTAGTATGCTTTATTTATTTATTCTCAACATATCCTGAGATTTAAAGCTTAGAATAAATGTTCAGTCGACTGTTTCTTAACAATGTTTAACTGACCTGAACCCAGAATTTAAAAGACATGAAGGTCATCACATGTTCTTCTTTACTAATGGGAACTTCCCAATCAGGTCTTTCATTGTGCTTCCCAGAACCCCCTGCTTCACAGATTCATTGTGTTTCAGACCATGCATCTTTGTTTTCACTAGCCTTCACTGCCAAAGCCTTCTGCTACATTTGACTGAGCCTGATGTGCCATCCTTACTATGTGTGGAACAGAAAGCATGGGAGCGTAGTTAATTTCCGTCAATTCTGCAAATGAGTGACTGAATAAATGTGGATTTGATTTCTTGCCAAGAAGCTGAGGGTCAATCTAATGCATTTACAAACAAGCCTGTTAGAGACCCCGGGAAGAAGACTTCTTAATCTTTGAAGCTGAAAGTCTCATTTCAGATGCACAGCTGATCTTTCATGCATGTAAAAAGATTTCTCTCAAGTAAAAAGGAAAAAAAACACTTCCCCTCATGCAGGCGAGAAGAGCCTTTTAGAAGACGTTGGTGTAATGCCGCTAATACTCTAGCTGTCATTACATGCAGTAAACTCAATTATTGCTTTTAAAAGACATATTATCTGGAGGTGGATAAGGCCAATTCAGTAAAATTAGGAATCAATCTAGTTGTTATAGGACGTGACTGTATGTGTTTTAAAACAATTAAATAAAGAAAAAGAACAGAAACAGTGCTTAGTTAGGTAATAGAAAAATTCTGAAATGGGAAAAAGTTAACATGCTGTGCCTCCATGTGAGGGAGAAAGATTTCCTCTTGCTGATTTCACAACTGGTTCAACTTGGTTTGCATTGACCAACAGTCTCCAGTTCTGTGAGCAGTTCATTGTGGAATGATTTCAGCTGGAAATTACAGTAGACAAATATAGTTTATATTATATACACAAAGCAATTTTCCTCTCATATGACAAGAGAATTCTGCATCTGGTTACACCAAACACAACTAATCCATAATGTACTCGCTAACAGACGTTTACTCCAGTTTCTGCCCTGTTATCATTATCAGAAGGCCTCAGATACAGTTTGTTTAACATCTGCAGCTGTGTCACACAGCACAGGAAAGTCTGTGCTTTGTCTGAGGTGCTGTGTTTACGCATGTGACCGTGGTCTATTGTCCTTGATGTATATACGGAAGCGTCTGAGTCGATGTGACATTTTGAGACACCGCTCCCTTCCACTTCCTTACCCTGGAGGCTAATGGAGCCTCTTAGATACAGCCTGATTGATTCAGTCATGTTGTGAGAAAATGTAATGAGAAAATGTGAGCCTATGAGGCAATACGATCTTCATCAAGTTAATGATACTCACCATGTCCTCTAGCTGCATCTGGATCTGTCTGTGAACCTCCGCCATCTGAAAAAGCACATCCCCTTGAGAGAGATAGAAAGAGGAAATAGATTAAATTGTCACTGTAATGCTTTTGCACCTGATATCAGGACACCATGCAGTCTGACAAGGGTGCAGGGAAGAGAAGAAAGGAGGTAGAGAGAAAAATGAAAACAAATGATGAACAAGATGGGCCGACAGTCAAGCTAAAGGTGCAAGAAAGTATCTGATGAACACAATAAATTAAATAAAAACACCACAAAATATCAAACTATATTGGTTAATAAAAAATAAAAATAAAAGATCACACAGAAAAAAATATTACTGAAATATTCTTCCATGAAGATGCATACCAAACAAAATAAAACAAAAATATTCATGGGAAACAGTGAAAGCATATTGCAAGTGCATGTTCAATCAACATGAGAAAAAAATCAGAAAAGATGTCAAAAACAAAATGTTGTTAGCACACAATGTTCTCATATCAACATCATTCTGTGGTACAAGAGAGAAAAAAGACAAATAAAGAGTGAATCATGCAGCCATTTCAGGCGTGTGTGTTGTGTCAGGGTACCTACATGCTGCCTCTTCTGATTAGGCAATGCATTGTGAAAAAAAGGAACAAAAGACCTAGTTTGAGCAGGAGCAAAAGTACAGAAGACCTTAAGACAGTGTGAAAGAGAGAAAGAGTGAAAAGCTACCCAGGGTGAATGAGTCAAATCTCAAACACCAAATGCATAAATAACACAGGGCAGAGAGCTGCAGTAGTCTCATGAACACAATATCAAATCAGTGTTTCCTACACCGCTATTTGCTGCTGAATCCATAATGCCACAGTAAAAGTATGAGCCACACAGCGCTGTGATTTACAGTGATTTTATAACACCCACGTTTAATAAATAAATAATAATTATTTATTTATATGAATAATATAAATAATACTAATAAAGTAAATAAGAATTTAAATATTACATTTTTATAATTAGAATTTTTATCATTTAAAGTACTATTACACTGACGGGAGTAAAGGCTGTTTTACATATATTATTACTATTACTTTTTAATATTACTATTTGATTAAATAGTACCTTGCTATTTTACCACGGGTATGAATGCAGCTGATCCAATCAAAATTTAGAGCCTGAAATATCATTTTATAACTTTTGAGTTGATAATATTTTGAGTTGCGAGCTTGCAATCTGAATTGTCTTTGCTGACTCCACGCAAAAACAAGCATGCATTATAATTGTAGTTGAAATTAGGGTTGGGCCGACAGATGATGCCATCGTCCATCGCCGATGGCTGATAGACACCCCCCCCCCATTCACCCCGCATCCCAAATACCGTGTTTGGAAAGAAAATGACGTGTAGGCGGAACCCCTAAAGGGAATAAATACGAGATGGGAGGAAAATATATATTTCATGTTTAACTGTAGACATCGTCCGATGCCAATTTTGTAGACATCGCCCAACCCTAGTTGAAATCACATATTAATGACTCTTACAAGGCCATTTTTTAAAATCATTTTATTTTATAAAAGTAGTTTTCTTCAATTTCATCTTATCAGCCACAGTGGGTTCAAGTACAAACATCTTGCTGCTGAAATATTACTTATCTGTAAGTTTTCCTAGTGCACAAATCAAGTGCAAGGGTCATCGGAGTACGTACTTGTACGTGCTTGTAGAGAACATTGTAAAGTCATATTAAGTTATCAAAGCTGCCCTTAAAACAAAACTTCCATTCATTTAATTAGTAAGTCAATGCACATTTCCACAGGGACAGAAATGATTACAGAGTGCTGAGACACCTTCCTTCCATCCATCCATCAAACTCTTGTCTAACTCTGCATTAACCAGGTTTAAACTGGCTTAATAAAATAATGAAATAAAATAACAAAACACACACACACAGTATGTAACACAGAGGGCAGCATCAGCCGCAGACACTTTGAAAAGACAAGGCACTTACACAACTTTTCTGCTGTAAAAGAACAATGACAGACGTACATGTACTCGCATGACATCCAATGGGCATGACGTCTCTCTACCTCCTGAACTGGTAATAAACGCAAGGCATTCTTCATGTACAGGGGTGATTAAGTCAAGGCAATGTGAATGATACCTCAAATTGTGCAGCCTGTTATTTTCTATATCACTAGATATTAAGTACCTTCAATACACACTCATTCATATTTGAAATCCATGCACGTCCCTCATAAATCTGAGCTACTGAGCCACACTGTGCGTTTCATAAAGCGTGACCCTGCCTGTCTTTGAATCCGTCATGCCTGACCCAGGACAACTGCACCAGCCTGCAGTACATATCTAATCAAGCCATCCTCTTAAGCCCTGCCTTCTGAGAAATAGAGAGACAGTCCGTTTTATACAGTCGTTTCAGTTCAAGGTCGGCAGAGGCCATCCAACCAGTAACGTCCATCGAAAAAGAGATTAATAAGGGTGGATATACTCACACACATTACATCTTGATGTACCCAAATTCAGTAATTTTCATAACAGCAAGCAGAAAAGAGTTTAGCAGGAAAGAGGGAACAGGCATGAACATGACATTTCTGAGATACCAAACAAGAATACCCACTGTTGTCCAATAGGAAATCATTATTCAGGAAGAACTTTATTAGATATGATAGTAATGCACATAATATCAGTTGTGCAAGAGATGTTGTGATTAACAATGTAAAAAAAACGGGAGGAAAAAAATACAGAGCTCTGTAGTTGAATCTCACATTTTCAGACCTTTAGCTGAATATTCAAAGTAAATTGTATTGGTTTCTCTAAGTTATTTTTCATTTAAGTATCTCAGATGCTTCCCCTAAAATTCCTTACAAGAAATAAACGAGGCAATTGTCTACAGTAAAGGCCTGTTAACATCAAAAACGGTTACTGTAATGATAACTATGGTGTTCACATCAATGCAAAATAATGTTCTGTTTATTGTAAGTGCACACTGCAGTTATGTCATCTGTCACTTTAAATGCTTGAGCTCTCTAAAGCATTTTGGATTCTGATTGACTAGTTATCATTATAGTTCTTGTCCTTGGTGTAAACTTGACTTAAGTATGGTTGCAAAAGGGTTGGAAAATATGCCTTTCCGTTAATTTCTGGAAACTTTCCAAAATTTCCCAAAAATCCTGGAAAGTATCAAAAATTTCTGGAAAATGTATGCCACTTTGCAACCCTAACCTTAAGAGTATAGAGATATAGGCTAAAATGAATGTGGATATATGATTTGGCCTTTGAGAAATGTTCATATTGAGTTAATCTCTAACTGCCAAGTCTGCAGTCACATCTGAGCTCAGTTTCATTGACAGCTCTTCTGAAAGTCTATGCACATGTGAGAAACACCTGAGATGTTAAATATCATCTGTGATATTTCTTTCCTATGGGCATCCATCAGGTCTACATAAAAGTGTGTATGTAACACAGAGACCCCTTCTGCTGCTGTCCATGCCCTGGCCTCACCCTGCTGTCCCCGTCCAGATCTCGTCTGTAGGTCGACACACTCTCATTTCCTGTCTAAGTCAGCACAATGGTCTGACAGCACTCCCCGTCCTCATCCAGCATTACAGTGGTAGAATTTGTAAGACACTGTAGAGTCTCACTGGGTCAACCTAAACTTTCCAGGGTAAGATGAGTCCCATAATGCGCTCTCATCAAAGCGAGAAAGCACTAGAAAACCTACTTTCTGGAAGGAAAGATTTTTCCATTTTTTGTCTCTTTTCTGTCTCTTATTAAACTAGCTCAACTCTCCCCCCTCCATCTCTTGTTCTTCTCAAATTATTTCCCTCTTTCTGTGACCTTGGTAGAAGTAATAAACATCAATACTGAGGGAATTATACAGCACACAGATGGATGTGATAAACTTAAGCACATTTGGACCGAAGTCTCCTCCAATGAATTCTCTGATGCGCTTTGCTGCAGAACTTTTATCATTAAATATGACATAAACCTACAGTTCATATCTCTTTCTTTCCACCAAGCTCACAGATGGCTGTATATCCATAGGTAGAACAAACAAAACAGTCAAAATGATCCATATGCTTCAATATAATCATCCAGTCGTATCTGAAATGGTAAAACTCAGTGAACCAAGACGAAATGCTGTGATGCCTCATTGAGCTCGAAACCCCAAAGCCTAAATAATTCTTTTGTGGTCATTACTTTGTGGCAGAAGACTGTATACATAACTATTAGAGAGCAGCTGATGAGGTCATAATGGCGATTGATTACTGCAGCAGAACAGATTCAGGGAGGGGGGTTGTGGGTTGGATGTGCTGGGCAGCCAAATTAATTTGACGATCAAATATAGAAGTAACACTGTTATCATTGTCCATGACTATTGAACTTCACTGGGACCTACAGGTGGCAAAATAATGAATCCTACTAATGTGAAGTCATTGCTCATGAATATTAATTATGAAGCATTTATCTCTGTTACAAAACCAAGTGAGCAAGTAAAATGGAACCTCATAAGTAACTAATTTATAGCATTTTATGTAGGCAACAACTGTGTGCACAGGGGACAACTAATTCCATTTCATATTGGCATTAGCATGTTGCAAAGCTAACAGCATGATAGTCTAATGAGCATAAACACAATGCATTCTGGAATTGTCATCTCTGCAAAGAATGCATGTAGTGCTGCCTTTGATTCTGGCCAAAAAAGATGTATTTTAGACCTCTTGAAGCCTCTTGATACCTCTTGTTACCTGTTGCCAGCGTATACGATGGCTTAAAACTGTCTAGGTTTGGGAAGCCTTACACAAATGGATGTACCAAAACACATAAATACATTAATATTCATGAGCAAAGCCATCTCTAAAGCACGACTCAATAATTTGCCTATCTGTGAGAGTATGAAATGCTTTTACAAGAATGTCCTCCAAAAGCTGATCTGATGTAAGTCACAGTCGTGCATCCATTTCCAAGCGACTCTTCTGTTTGCAATGGCATTTGTAGCAGCGATTATCAGCTCTGTGATTTATTCCTCAGAGGTGTTTGAGCCATTTGCCATTTTTGTATGTGTGCTTTGTTTATGTGTGGAGCGAGAGATACCCAGAGGGTGAGACAATGGCTTTCAGTGTGGTGAGGAAACACTCAAACCATGTTATGACACTACAAATCCCACCTACTTGGAGTGAAAATGAAACTTTGTCTGTGCCAACCTGCTGCTGCGCTCCCAACATCAGGATGGAGTCAATCACATAATAAAGTGCTATTCCTACGCTTCCTGTGGTGAGCTGGAATTGAAGGCTTGAGAACGGAGAGAGAGAGTGACAGCCGAGAAGAGTATTTCCACTGTTTATAAATGTCTTGTTGAATGTTTATTTGGTTTTATTTGTATTTCCCTGTGGTGTGACAAAATGTTAGCCTATACATTATAGTTTTAAAGCTCTTTTTTAAAATCTTGGCTTACATAAATTTATACATATGCCATGTCATGCCATAGCATCATTAAACTAGCATCTAACAATGGACAAAAGTTTTTTGTGAAATTTTTTTTTTTTTTTTTTCTCTAACCCATGGTTCTCTAACCATAAAGGCTGCTGTGTAATTTGCCCCCTGACTAAGC